TAAAAAACTACAAAGCTTGGTATGGGTATGAATAACTTTTGCGCAACATGCAGCTTCTAGCTTCTTATGTACAACATGCAGCTTATTAGGTAGATCTACCAAAGATTTTGCTAATTTCAAGCTACAATTGTAGCTAAATGAGTCAGCACATAACACACACCATTGAGAACCACAAGGTGTTTTTTTTACATTGTATAGTGTATATGTAATTCAACAAATGTTACCATATGACGCCAACAAATTAGTTTACACTGTTCAGTGTTCTCTCTTCCTCAAGAATGAGATCCGATTGCATAGATAATTGGGGAATCATAGATCTGCTTTGATGTTCGCTGTTTGTTTGTTTGTTCTTATGACTGCAATCTAAATGGCTTTCAATCTTGCCCTGGAGCCTTCATTCCTGTGAAATATGTTTATGATCATTAAATACTATTCCAGCCTTTGAAAACCACAGAGTCAAGACCTGTTCATCATCTGTGGCTTTGTACGTATGTCTACAGATGGTTGATGAAAACTCAAAAATTTAAAGAAGAAACTTTCTAATCCAATCCAATCTGAGTTTAGACAGAGAGCTGACCATATCAAGGACATTACCCCTGGACCAACTCACAGAGCAGGAAAAATTGTAGGTTCGAATCCTGTTCATCCGCAAAAGTGATAATGATGATGGCTTCTTGTATAGCGCTATTATCCGCCTCTGCTGGGGATCATGGCGTTTGCTCTACAATGTCTCGCAAATTCAACGTATTTTGTCAGTGCTTTGAATTAAAGGGATCGTTTAACAATGTTAAATCTGAGATACACGGCCCTAAGTGTTATCAGTGTCTGTGATATGGTGAAATATTGAAGCCCTAAAAAAATTGCGCTTCAAAATTATCAAGAAGTGCCTCAAAAAAGTAAAAATCTTTGAGTGACCGGTTTTACCATACTCGTTTTCTCCAATAGATTGTAGTGTTATGAAAACCGTCAGGCGAACGGTTTTCAAAATTTGTAATTCCAATCATAAATATCTTGATAATCAGACAGGCGATCGGCTTGTAAAAGTCATGGAGTTCCTGACTGACCTAAAGGTTTATAATTATCATTGCAGCATGAGCTAAATCAAGGATTATTTCTAAAGGATCTAAGACAAAGTTACCGGATCCCTTTAAAGTTGTTTTCCAGTAGTCTTCATTAATTATGTTTTGTGAGATGCTCTAGTTCGGAAATCCATTCTGTGTACTTGTTTTTCCCCAGCACTTTGAGCCAATAACTGATCCTGAAAGAGTACAATAATGATAATAATATTGATAATGATGATGATGGTTATAATAATAAGAGGAAGAGGAATAGTATGAAGAATAGCAATCAAAATCATAATAATAATGATACTAATAATGATGATAATACTACAGCTGCAGCAACAAAAATAAAAACAACAACAAACAACAGCCTCGCCCATCCCTAAACATGCTCCCCCAGACTTTTTGAATATGAATCATTTGATAATCAAATTCATAGTTTCTTTAGTCCTTCTTTAATGATCAGGTTAAGATATGTGTCTTTGTTTTCAAAGGTTGATTACAGAGGAACATGCTTTAATTATGTGCCGATTTATATAAAAGTTCTTTGTTAAGGTAAAGACCAGTTTTGGAACCCCCCCCCCCCCCTCTCAAAAGATGAAATGGAAGCTTTTATTACTAATCATGTGAAAGAATATGTTTTGACTATTAAATACATGATGATGCAAATTTTGCCGGGAAAATCGCCTACTAATTGATATATTTGGTAAATTATTATATCTATCCGGACTGGAAAGATATAGGGTAGTCCCATATAAATCTACACAGTGTTTGTAACTTTACCAAGACTTGGCCAAATTTCTTATCATTTTGATGATTCTAGAACCTTGCAGTACACACCAATACTTATATGCTAGATGATCAACTTTTTCTGATCGATTCCACAACGTTTCTTTCACAATGTAATCGCATGACCAGAACTGGTCTTTACCTTTATAAACATGACTCGCCCTGGCTGGCCGTACACATATGTGTCTCACCAATTCAAAGACCTGCACATACATCTACATGTACTGCATGTCCATCTGCCTCAATACAGAGGAGAATTCTTCGTCTGCTTTCCCTTTACTATCCATATTGGGGATCTAAAACACAAATATCAAGAAAAATCTTCTGAAATGTAAAGTTTCCCTATCAAAACTTGGTATGACCTTTGTATGGTTTAGGTTACTAAAGAATTAGAAAAAGTAATGAAAATGAACAAAATGAGCTTACCACAGTCAATCAGCACAGAGTCCCGGTGTTAGAGGATGATGACATCTGTGTGCATGCTTGAAAGCATTAGCATATACAGTATGAGGGTCGATCGAGAGAGAGAGAGAAAACCCATCCCTCATTCCTACCCCCTAGCAATGATTAATAGTGACTCACATCTTTAATACATTAAAATGCCTACATTTGGTACCTTAAAGGCATCATTTAACAATGTTAAATCTGAGATGCACGGCCCTATTTGCTATCAGTGTCTGTGATAGGGTGTAATATTGAAGCCCTAAAAAAATTGCGCTTCAAAATTATCATGAAGTGCCTCAAAAAAGTAGAAAATCTTTGACCGGTTTTACCATACTCACTTTCCCCAATAGACTGTAGTGTTATGAAAACCGTTGGAAAACGCAAAATGAAATTTCGATTTCCAATCATAAATATCTCGATATTCAGACAGGCGAACTGCTTGTAAAAGTAATGGGATTCCTGAATGACCTTAAGGTTTATAATTATGATTGCAGTATGAGCTAAATCAACGACTTTGTTTAACCCTAATAAGGCCGGGCTATTTGAGGTCTTAGTATGGCCGGGGGGGGCATTATGGCCCCCCCCCCCCTTAAGATCTCGACCGCGAAGCGGCCGATCGCCGCAAAAATTTGCACGCATATCAAGTGTATAGAATAATATGATAATTTCAATTTTTTGAAAAATTCACTCATTTGCATATTTATGGTAATTTATGCTAATAAAGTCATAAAAATCACATTTTTACCCATAAATCATATATTATTCATATTTAAGCATTCCTTTTCACTACATATATTCATTAGACCATTCTGAATAATAATATGACAACAAAATTTGGAAGAGCCAGCTTTTTTCTCATGTTATCCCTTGTTTTGATAATTTCTTATGTATTTCATTGTTTTTTTAACTTATGTATTTCATTGTTTTTGTTGTTTTATTTCATTTCTTACTACAATTCAACTAAATTGACTCCCAAAACAACCACCTAAACTTTAAACAAGACCCAATAACCCATGTTTGATCTGTTTTTAGGAAAAATGACTTTTTCATATGTTTTGTACACAAATCACGAAAATGAGCGATTTTCGGGCTGACATGCAATGACAAAAGGTCACGTGACCTTCTAACCGTCAGTTCGATTTTCAAAAAAATTCTTTTAAAAGTTGCGCAAGACTCGAAAGAAAAAAGTCAGCGAGTGGCGGGGCGCCATCCATATGCGTTCCCGAGCAATCGGAAAAATCGTGGAGGGGGGGGGGCCATAATGCCCCCCCCCCCGGCCTTATTAGGGTTAAGGATCTGAAACAAAATTACTGGTTCCCTTTAAAAGGGGACCTATAGCTTCACAAGCTCTGCTTCTTTTATAGGTTCCTCCACTTTTTCTCAAATTATGATGTACAGTAAAAATTAGAGAATGATGATATTTTCTACAGTTCTTTTATAATGATGCAATGTACATGTACATGTATATGTTCACTAAAGAAGTATGGACATATGTACATCATTTAATAATTGCAACATTTTTATTGTACCAATTTTGATAATACACCGCTTTGTTTTGTTTATGTTTTATTATACATGTATATGTATTTGAGAAAGTGGAATAAATTGAACCGTTGAACCTTTGCTTAATTTAAAAGAAATATTACATACATGTGTAAGGGTCACACTGCAATATGAAATGAAGGAGGATAATGCAATTTTCAATCATAAAAGCCTAATGATATAGGAACCTGTATATTTTTTTAATCTTTCTTTTAAATGCTTTAATTGAGACAGCTAATCTCTATTAAAGGATACTCCCAATCTATCACCAGCATTTTATGTTCTTATGCAGTGCCTTCATAAAGTCTCCCAGACTCCTCTTAATCAGTTGACTACTGAATTCTCTAATTCCCATAGGCTTAAAGGAAACCCCACCCCAAGAAATAACTTTACTTATTCTGAGAGATTTATTGTATTCTTGCCCATTAATCTACAAGATTCCCCACTAAAGTATATTTTTTTTATAACGTTAAGTACTATGAGTATGTGAAGTTGTTCATCAACTATTTATATATTCAAATTTATGGATGCTTCCCAGGTGTGTATGGTTTTGAAGCATTTCATTCACCTGCTTTTACCCTTTGTTCTACAATTGCCAGAACGTAAATTGCATAAATTAATTGGTCCTCTTCTGGTGTGAAGGTTTCTCTTAAAGGAAATAGATTTGTCAAATTCAATATTTTAGTATTTTTAAATGAATTAGTTTCAATTGTTCCCCTGTTATACATTTTTCTTCTCCACTATGACTTTTCCTCATTGAAAAGTAAAGGTTTTGGTATCGATTTAAAAAGTCTTTCCAAATATTAAAAGCTTGGTGCATGATACATGAACAACTTCACCTGGTACGTCACATTTTCAAGAAAAAGGCTGCCCTATGTCATGCTTAAAGGCATTACATCATTTCAAGAATATCTTCAATTTAAATATCTCTTGTACATTTTCGTAATGAATATTGTACATCAAAAGGCAGGAATACATCTCATTTTCTGGAATACCTTCATTTATTCGATCTTTGGGGTGAGATTTTCTTTAAGTTTGTCAATGAATAATCCAAACCATCACCCCCAATCAGAGAATGGATCGTAAATGATTTACCTAACTAACAGGCGATTTGATATTAACTTCACTGATGTTTGTTTTCTGTTCAATGCTTCTTACAGGAGGAAACTCGTAAGATGAGAGAAGAGATCCAGCGTCGTCGTCAAGAGGCTGAGGCTAAACGTAACAAGGCGGAGGAAGAGAATCAGACGATGTACTCCATTCCAAAGTACAACATAGCTGTAAGTACATTTACATACAGTTGTACATGTAGGAGATATCATGATGTCAGAAGGGAATTAAATCTCCCTTAACCAAGTTGTAGATTCCGACCCAAAGTATACTTCAAGGTTTATACAGGGAGTATGGAGATTAACTGATTTTTTTCTTATCTTTTTGAAAGTATAATAATTATATTAATGGTAATGTTGATAGCGATGATGATGATGGTGATGACAATGATGTTGATGATGATGGCGATGATGATGATGTTGATGGTGATGACGATGATGTCGATGATGATGACGATGATGTTGATGGTGATGATGATGTTGTTTTTGGTGATGACAATGATGTTAATGATGTTGGTGATGATGATGCTGACGATGATGACAATGTCTTGTTTTCCCAGGGTAGCCTGGCAACAAGAGCTAGCAATAAAGACTTAAATATCTTGATATAATGATTCTGTTTTAGATGTCTGGCATCTCATGCCATTCTATTCCTTTCTTCCTCATATGCAGGAAAACATCGCTAGAGCTAAGCAAGAGAAGATGCAGACTTCCGCCGAGATGATGGCTGAGAGGGAGAAGAGGGTGGAGGAGAACATTCCTCAGATACGCATCAGCGCCCATGACTCTGAAGAGCGCCTCCGTGAGATTGCAGAGATCCTCCACGCCAAGCTGGTGGAGGTGTACAGCGATATGTATGACCTTGAGCAGAGGAAGGAAAGGCAGGAGTATGATGTAAGTAGATTGATGATGATTTGTTTGTTTATTTTACCTGACTGCTAAGAAAGAATTTTTCTGCTTGTAAGTAAGCAACCAGGGAACCGACAGCTTTAAGTCCTCCCCAAGGGTCTTGGTAATGAAGATTTATAGTGCCTTACCAAAGGACGTGGTTTTGAATCTGGGACCTCCAAGATTTAATACAAGACCACTGCTCTACCATTGAGCCATTGTGGGTGATCAGGCGTATTCAGAACATTTCAGATCATACAATGTCTCTTTGCACTTCAGAAATATCCATTTTTAATGTAAATGTTAGCCATTATTGTTTCAAAGTGCGTTAATAATTTTACTTTTTCCAGATGCACCATACGTGAAGCCTGTTTATTTACTCCACTTGGAATTTAGATTAGATTTAGTGTTCCTTCAAGTTTCATCTTCAGTTTTACATGTATAGTGTCATGAATGAGAGGTTTACACATGCTCAAGGTAATTGTTTTTACTACTTTGATATATTTACAGCTTAATGAGATGAATGCTCGCATCAAAGATCTGGCCAAACACAAGTAAGTATTCTGAAATATATGATAAAGACTGATATTCAGAAGGAGGAAGACAATAAGAACATAAATAATATTTGTAGGCAAATGGAGATAGAACTATATAAAACCGATAAGAACTAAATTATTCATTCCCTTACCAAGTTTCGTAAGAAAGAGAGAGAAAGGGGAGGGGGAGTGAGAAATAGAGAGAGAGAGAGAGAGTGAGTGAGTGAGTGTGTGAGTGAGAGAGAGAGAGTGGGAGTGAGTGTGTGAGTGAGAGAGAGTGAGTGAGTGTGTGAGTATGAGAGTGAGTGGGTGGGTGAGTGAGTGAGTGGGTGGGTGGATGGCTGGGTGGGTGAGAGAGAGTGAGCGAGTGAGTTAGCGAGTGCGTGCGTGGGAGTGAGTGGGTGGGTGGGTAAGAGAGAGTGAGTGCGTGCGTGGGAGTGAGTGAGTGATTGGGTGGGTGATTGGGTGGGTGGATGGCTGGGTGGGTGAGAGAGAGTGAGCGAGTGAGTTAGCGAGTGCGTGCGTGGGAGTGAGTGGGTGGGTGGGTAAGAGAGAGTGAGTGCGTGCGTGGGAGTGAGTGAGTGATTGGGTGGGTAGGTTGGTTGGTGAGAGTGAGCGAGTGTGTGGGAGTAAGTGAGTGAGTGATTGGGTGGGTGGGTGGGCGGGTGATTGAGTGAGTGAGTGAGTGAGTGAATGAGAGAGTGAGTGGGTGGGTAAGTGAGTGAGTGAGTGGGTGAGTGAGTGAGCGGGAAAAACAAGTGAGTGAATGAGAGAGTGAGTGGGTGGGTGAGTGAGTGAGAGAGTGTGTGAGTGAGCTAGTGAGTGACTGAGTGCATGAGAAAGAGAGCTAAGGAGGGGATAGGGGGTCACAGATCATTTTCCCCCACACTAGGTACATGTCCTTCTTTTTGCTTCTCTAACTACAAGGCATGATACATGTATTTTCCATAGTTACTTCAGATTTCAAGTTATTGATACGTACTGCCATGGACAAAATCTTTACCATACCATAATTATATAAACTAACTTTTTTTCTCACCATACAGGACTGTCAAGGTTACCCCTGTTGATCAAGGGTAAGTGTCTCTGTTTCCTCCTAAATTATCAGTCTGAATTCTGAACCTATTTCAGAACAATCTTCGTGTGTTTAACGAATGGTAGGAAGCTTAATGATAGAGATCTATATCTTATGAAATAGTTTTTCTCCAGCTCTAGTTTTTGAGATTGTATGTAAATTCTGCATATGAATGACAAACAAGTCAGTACAAAAATATTTGAATCATTAAAGATTTCATTTATGTGCAGATCATATAATCTTATGATCTTCAACACTGCGAATTACAGCAAAGATTTTTTCCTAATTTGGGGTTCTTTTTGAAGAATCTTTTACACTGAAAGGAAAAAAAGTCAGCAAAGATTGATAAATAGAAATTTAGAAGATCAAAATCTGAACCTTAAACTTTTGTAGATGGGTATCATTTAGCATGTGCAAATGAAGCAACAAAACAAACAAAAAGGGGGAAAGAAAACAATAACAACAGCAAAAATGATAAAGAAAACAGTTTAGGAGTTACTTTTACATATACATGTACTTGTATGGTATTATGGAAGGGAAAACTCATTCTCTTTTGCTCCATTTCATGTGATTTGGTTTCTTAGTACTGCTTGTGGAATGAGGGTTCTAACATTTGATTGCTTATTGTCTATTCACAGCCAGAAGGGCGTTAACTTTGTGTTAGAGTGTGTCAGTTAAGGCCCTTCTGGCTCCAAACTGGCTCCCAATACAACATCATTCATTGATCAAGTTCTGCTTGCCCCTTGTATTAATCAGTTTCTAATATAGTTCATGGATGATATTGTGTCATGTGAATGTTCTGTTGTTTTCATTAATGCATCTCATTTTATAATGTAGTTACTATACACAATATCAGAAATCAAGGCATTTTGCATTGTGAAAACATAACCAGCTGGCCCTGTGCAGCCGAGGTGTGCACATCGCACAAACATTACTATGGAACGTCCGCAAGGACTCTTTATCTTGTGATTTCTAACGTACCAAGATTATTAGTCGAACTTAACTCTAAGTTGGACTTAACTGTTATGGAGAGCAATTTGTAGCCTTAAAATAAAATATATTCAAATAAAAAATTCAAGTATTTTAGACTTTTCATAAATTATACACATCAAGAACATGAAATCTCCTTGATAATAGAAAATATGAATGATTTGAATTAATTATTTATGCCTTTTAAAATAACTTCTAGAAACATATTTACAAAGATGCTAACAGCTTTCCATAACTTTTAAGTCCAACTTATAGATAAGTTGAACATAAGGATCTTTGTGAAACATCCCCCAGACTATGGATTTCTCACATACATATAGAACATGAAATTATATTTAGATTGTTGATAGCTTGTAAATGAATGAAACTACCTATTTCCTGACATGATTTAATTCAGGGTGTTATTTAATTTGGCATGACTTGATTTGTTCCATGATTTGCTAAGATTTAATATAACTTGCTATGATTTGATTTGATGTAATTTATTTGTTATGATTTGACTTAATTTCATGATTTGCTATGATTTGACTTCATTTTATGATTTGCTATGATTTGATTTGGATTGTTCATCTAACCACTAACTATAGGCATGTCAGCATGCTGAAGGAAAAGGGATTCACATTTGACGACAAGGTACTGCTATGTTCTCTCAAAATAGAGTAGACTGGTTTACTTTTTTAAATCCAACCTTATTACCAAGTTACTCTGAATTCTTCTTTTATTTGCGATCAAGTTTTGATAAAGGTTAGAGAAGTGAATTTAAGCAAATAAAAGCTTAATTTTGGTCAGGAGTCGAAATGTCCTTTGTTTTCTAAAGTAACTTTTTGAACACATAATATTGGTAAGATTTCATTACGCCTAAATAAAAAAAAATGAATTTTTGGTTATCTGTTTAATTTTTGTATTATTCAATATTTATTAAATTCACTTATATTGATTTGCAAAGAAAAATAAACCAAAAAATTGGGGCATGATTGATCAGATAAAAAAAAAAAAAAATTAATATTTCATAAAGAAATCTTCCTTTGATATCAAAATATTACTAATAAAAATGTTTTAAATACTGGTTTATTGGAATAAATGAATTCCTATTATTCTTAAACGTCCCTCTGAAAGAAATATTCTATGTGTTATATATCAGGAAGAAATTTTCCTGAACGTTTTACTGCTCTTACTTTTTAAATGTATATCTAACTTAGATGTGAATGTACCCCAATTATTTAAAAGTATGTTGTGAAATTTAAAACAGTTTTCACTTTGTAAATATGCGATTGATACAACAACGAATTTTTTTAAAGAGCAAAAGTATTTTGATTATGTTTCTTAAAAGATTTGATGGATAGATATATGAAAAAACCCTAAATGATTTGATGGAAAATATGTTTTCTTGATTTTTAATTTGGTTTTGACTTATCCTTTATACAAGTATGTAAATGTTGACTCAGAACAAAATTTGCCAATACTAGATTTTGGTTTGTACCTTAAAATAAATCTTTCACCACCGTAATTTTTTTTTTAAATGCTTCCTTTTAATTTGTTCTTTTGCTGTTTAGATTGATCAAATGATATGTTAATTTTAGAATAAGTTTCCTATTTTATTTTATAGATGTTCAAAAAGAAGTGTGTTTTGGGTTTTCACATTCCCTGCTCATATTAGACAAGTTTCTCTCTAATCAATGTGTATTGATCACCAAAGTCAAAGTCTTTATTTTTGTTACACTCATAGGTTTGTTTCTTTTATTTATTGATATTCCTTCATAAACTGTGACGTTGCTATTTTATATAATAGGCTGCCAAACAGAAGCAGAATGTAGATCTCAAGGCAAGCCTGCCCTCTACTGGTCACATTGCAGACAGGCTTCAAAAGCTTCAGAACAACCTCAAGAAGGATGCGGTAAGGAAACCCGGCCCCCCCCCCCCGCCCCCCCACTCCGAGAACGGACGGACCCCATGCTTGTTACCAAAATGTCCTTTTCGTAACAAAAGAAAAAGGTCGACCCGTATCGACTTTACACTCCAGACTTTTGCTGAAAAGGGGGGGGGTGCTGAAAAAGGCTCGTATAACAAAAGAAAAAGGTCAACTCGTATTGACTCTACACACCGGACTTTTGCTGAAAAGGGGGGGGGTCGCTTGGAACACGCATATGCGTACCCTACATAACACTGAGTGGGGGGGGCGGGTAAGGAAATAATCACACACAGAGGAAAGAAGAGTTTAGAGTTACGTTTAATATCACAATTTTATATTGAGCTGGGATATTAGGAATGAAGGCATTCGAGTTTACACTCAAAGCAAATATATTGAAGTAACGTTTTATATTTATATTTCTTCTTGCACTATGGTAAGGAAATTAAAGAATTCATGTTCACATTCACAGCAAATATATTAGGAGTATTATTTTTTTTTATACTGATTTTTTATTGCTCTTCTGTAAAAGAAATGCAAAATGTAATGCACGCTGTTGTGATGAAATGAATGAAGTCATGCTAACACATATAGCAAATGTTTGAGGATAACATTCCATTATATTGATTTTATATTGTTCTGAATCGTTATTTATTAAACAAGTTTCTAGTTCGCAAAATCATACATTTAATAAACATATAGGTGTTTTACTTACCCAATTTATGTTCAATTTGTGATGAATTCTGTGTTTTTAAATAAATATTTTTCAGGAGACCCCAGACAAGAATCTAAAAAAGGAGCCGATCAAGATAACATACAGCACTCCAGATCAACTGAAAGAGGACCTAGAGGCTAATAAGAGAGATGCTGAGAAATTCAAACAACAGAGGGTTAGTTCGTACCACATTTGAAGGAGGAGCAAGAGGGGTGGGAAGGGGAGGGGGTGGGGGCTAATGGGGTGAGTGGGGGGCTTGTTTGCCCCCCTTGACAGATTTTAGAAAATCAACCATTTTCGTATACTAAAATTCAGCAGGTTAGTGGGTTATTTGTAAGTCCTTGAAAAAAGGAAACACTCACCAACTCACTCCTCACTCCCTTTCTCACTCTCAAACACACTCACTCCATCACTCAATCCCTTACTCAATCACCTCTTCACTCACATACTCTCTCACTCACACTCATCCATTAACCCACTCACTCATCAACCCAGTCACTCAATCTCACTTACACTTGCTCACTCCCTTACTCACTTCCTCACTGTCACTCTCTAACTCACCCACTCGCCCACTCTCACTCACACTTGTTTACTCCCTCACTCACTCCTTTACTCACTCACACTAACTCAATCTCACCTACTCACCCACTCACTCTCACTCATACGTCCACTCACTCACTCTCCCTCTCACTCACTCTCCCTCTCTCTCACTCCCTCTCTCAATTACTCAGTCTCACTCAGTCTCACTCATTCAATCACTGGCACACTCACCCATCCACCCACTCTCGATCCGTCTCACCCACTCCCTCTCTCAATCACTCGCTCAGTCATGCACTCTCTCATTTCTGCATGGTTCATCATGTTACGTGGTATGATAACATGAGATTAAACAAACAATTCTAGCAGTAGACTTTAAAAGGGCATTTACAATCATAATACACGTACAGTAATACTGCATGGAGAAACATAAACACAGCAATTCTTTGATGGGATAGTGTGCACTTAATTTCAATACAGTTTGTTCTATCTATCTCAGTGTATAAAGAGGTGATGCCCAGGTGGTCCTCAAACCAAAAATTGGAACTGGGAAAAGTATGAAGTGATATATGGGAAGCATGATATTTCTTGTGGCTGGAGTTCAGGGCTTGTTACTCTGGTGCAATCTGTTCCATATTTTTTAGCGTTTTCAACCAAATTTTATGACTAAATATTGAGGGTTCAGTGACAAAAAGACGTAACACCATATTTTGCCAAAATGTGTATTTGATATCAAAATGTTCAGCAAAATGTGGGATTTCCAGGAAACACAAAGACTTAACTCCACCCAACACCAAATTGAAGTCAATGGCTAGTGAAGCATAGACTTAACTCCTTAAGGCCCAAGTGCTCAGTGACACATAAGCCACTTTTTCTCAAAATGGCCAAAATGGAGTTAGTCTTTATGTCACTGACCCCTCGATATATATCATAAATAATTTTTGTTTGGAATGAATATTAACCTGTAGCTGATTTTCAAACATGTCGCTGTACATGTTTAAAACTCTGTGGACCCTCACTCACTCACCCACTCACACACTCACTCTCACTAACTTTCACTCACTCCCCACTCTCTCACTCTCACTTCCTCACTCACCCACTCACACACTCGCTCTCACTAAATTTCACTCACTCCCCACTCTCTCACTCTCACTTCCTCACTCACCCACTCACACACTCGCTCTCACTAACGTTCACTCACTCCCCACTCTCTCACTCTCACTTCCTCACTCACCCACTCACCCACTCACACACTCGCTCTCACTAACTTTCACTCACTCCCCACTCTCTCACTCTCACTTCCTCACTCACCCACTCACCCACTCACACACTCGCTCTCACTAACTTTCACTCACTCCCCACTCTCTCACTCCCACTTCCTCACTCACCCACTCACCCACTCACACACTCGCTCTCACTAACGTTCACTCACTCCCCACTCTCTCACTCCCACTTCCTCACTCACCCACTCACCCACTCACACACTCGCTCTCACTAACTTTCACTCACTCCCCACTCTCTCACTCCCACTTCCTCACTCACCCACTCACCCACTCACACACTCGCTCTCACTAACTTTCACTCACTCCCCACTCTCTCACTCCCACTTCCTCACTCACCCACTCACCCACTCACACACTCGCTCTCACTAACGTTCACTCACTCCCCACTCTCTCACTCCCACTTCCTCACTCACCCACTCACCCACTCACACACTCGCTCTCACTAACTTTCACTCACTCCCCACTCTCTCACTCTCACTTCCTCACTCACCCACTCACACACTCGCTCTCACTAACTTTCACTCACTCCCCACTCTCTCACTCCCACTTCCTCACTCACCCACTCACCCACTCACACACTCGCTCTCACTAACTTTCACTCACTCCCCACTCTCTCACTCCCACTTCCTCACTCACCCACTCACTCAATCTCACTTCCTTGCTCACTCTGTCACTGATTTTTAAACCTTAAGCCCCTGTGGACCCTTCTTTTTCTCCTTTCAGGAGGAGAATCGTAAGAAGAGGGAGGTGGAGATGAGTAAGATGGAGCAACTCCAGGAGGAGAGACAGAAGAAAGCTGAAGAGGAGCGTAAGAAGCAGGCGGAGGAAAGAGAACGACTGAAGAGAGAGAAGGAGGAGAAGGAGAAGGCTAGAAGGAACATGATAAACCCTTCTGGAGCCCCCATCAACATCTCTGTGAGTCCCCCGCCCATTTTTATGCCTCCGTTACGAAGTAGCCGGAGGCAGTATGTTTTCGGGTTGTCCGTCCGTCCGTACGTCCGTACGTCCGTCCGTCCGTACGTCCCGTTCTCGTGATCGCGTTATCTGAAGAACCGATTGATGGATTCCTGCCAAACTTTGATCATGTATGTATCTTGCAGAGCCGATGAACTGATTAGATTTTGGGGTCACGAGGTCAAAGGTCAAAGGTCACAGGGCTCATTATATATGCAAAAACAGCTCGTGATCGCGTTATCTCAAGAATCGATTGATGGATTCCTGCCAAACTTTGGTCATGTATGTATCTTGCAGAGCCGATGAACTGATTAGATTTTGGGGTCACGAGGTCAAAGGTCAAAGGTCACAGGGCTCATTATATATGCAAAAACAGCTCGTGATCGCGTTATCTCAAGAACCGATTATGGATTCCTGCCAAACTTTGATCATGTATGTATCTTGCAGAGCCGATGAACTGATTAGACTTTGGGGTCACGAGGTCAAAGGTCACGGGGCTCATTATGTATGCAAAAACAGCTCGTGATCGCGTTATCTCAAGAGCCGATTGATGGATTCCTGCCAAACTTAGGTCATGTATGTTACTTGCAGAGCCGATGAACTGATTAGATTTTGGGGTCATGAGGTCAAGGTCAAAGGTCATGCGGCTCATTATGTATGCAAAATAGCTTGTGATCGCATTTTCATTAGAACAGATTGATGGATTCCTGCCAAACTTAGATCATATATGTATCTTGCAGAGTCAATGAACTGAGTAGATTCTTGGGTCATGAGGTCAAAGGTCAAATGTCATGGGCTCATTATGTATGCAAAATTAGCTTGTGAACGCATTCTCATTAGAACTGACAGATGGATTACTATTTAACTCAGGACATCTTGCAGAGCCAATGAACTGAGTAGATTTTAGGGTCATGAGGTCAAACATCAAAGGGTCATATATGTATATGAGAAATTGCTTGTAATCACGATATTCTGAGAACCTGTTAATGGATTACAATGAAACTTGAATTTGAAAAATTTCTTCTGTTTTGGTTTGTAAACTTGCTCTATGACGGAGGCATCATTTTCGACTGCGCGCAGTCGAAGTTCCATCTAGTTTAAAGTCATACGTCACAAGTTTTTGAACATTTTTTGTGTTGTGGTCTAGTGGATACATAGCTGGACTGTGAATCACATGGTTTGCAGTTCCAGTCCTGCCCAGGTTATAATGTCCTTTGGCAAGATATTAATCTACAATTTACAACCCATCTTGCAAAGAGTTGCGATTGATCCAAATCAATCGCAAGTTTGCAATTGATATCAATCGCAACTTATTATCAACTCTTTGTAAGACTTTGTAAGCTGGTGTTATAAATGGGTGCCCGGTAGGAGTGACATTCCTTGAAAGCTTGAACGCCTTATGGTAGCTTGGCTAAAGCCAGGGTAATAAGATGATAATATGCAGGTGCCTCGAGGAGTATGTTAAAATACTGATGAGGCTACCCTGGGTAACAACACAATATTATTATTATAAATTAAACTAAAATATAAATTAAGTGCCAATTTTTTTTTTTTACTGAAAATTTTAATTTCCTTTTCAAATTGGGACTAACATGTATAGTACATGATTAAACTTCTCACGAGGCCATTCGTTTCTGTTTTAGGAACACAAGCACTGCAATTCTTAGTCCGAACAAGTTCTTTAGAGCTCAAATGTTGTATAGGGTTGTCACTTGTGCAATATTATTGTTTACAATGTTCCCATTACACGGTTCTGCAAAGGCATTGCTATGTGCCGACACAGACCTACATTGGGCAAATAATTAGTTTATAATTTTTTTAAAAATTTGTTAGAAAAGTGCAGTTTTATTTGCCAGTACATTAAAAGTTTAAGGGAAAAAGTCACTTATTTTTCCACCCATCTTGACATCTTGGATTTGCCTTACAGAAAGTTGTATCACAGCAGAAGGCTAAGAATCGTGAACAAACCCTCGCTGACCGGGTCCCAACGATGACCATCTCAAGCACGACCACGGAAGCTGAGTTGCGTAACTTTGCCAACGACCTCTATAACCAGCTCAAGACTACCTTGGGTGATGTCTTTGATCTCGATGAACAGAAGAAGAAGAATGAGTACTATGTAAGTACAGTGAAACCTGTCTATGGTGACCACCCAAGGGAAACACAAAAAGTGGTCTTTGTAGACAGGTTCCATTAGTACATGTTTCAATGAGAAACCATTTTCAAGGGAAACAAAAAATGTGGTCTTTGTAGGCAGGTGGTCTTTCTATACAGGTGGTCACTAAAGCAGGTTTGAATGTAGTAATTATGTCATAAATTTAATTATGATGATAGTTATATGTGTATGTCTGGTTTAACCAGGGTAGCATAATCAGTATTAATACTGTTTATGTATCTTGCACAGCCAATGAACTGTTTAGATTTTAGGGTCATAAGGTCAAAGGTCATGGGCTCGTTATGTATGCCTATAAATAGCTTGTGAATGTATTATCATCAGAACCGACAGATGGATTACTATCAAACTCAAGACATGTATTATCTTGCAGAGCCATGTATACTTATAATGAAAAATAGCTTGTAATCACGATATTCTGAGAACCTGTTTGAAAAAAACCGCTCTATGGCGGAGCCTTCATTTTTGACTGCGGGCAGTCAAAGTTCCATCTAATTACCTCTTTATTACTTGTTTATGTTTTTCTTTCAACAGCTAAATGAACTAGATGAACGGGTTGGAGTCTTGAAGAGTACCAAGTACGTTACCATGAAGTCTCATATTTTCAACTTTTTACTCCGAGAAGCACATAGTGAATATTGTATAAATCAGGGCCCCGTCTCATAAACAGTTACGATTAATTGCAACTTATTTGCCATGAATATCAATCACATGAGATGTTTTTTTTTTTTCCACAAATAGAAAAATTTGTGATCTAGAACATTTGATATGATTTTTATCCTCAATATCCCCAAGCATCTTTGTGTAGATGTAGCTTTTTAATGTGAAAAATAAATTGAATTACAAAAATTGTGTTCTCTCTTGTTTTTTTTTAATTAAAACAATTATTGGATGCATTTATTTTCTTTTGTTACAGGTCTTCTCCAGCAGTAAGCTCTGGGATGTAAGTATTATTGAAACCATAAAAAACATTTGTATGATATTTGAATATTGCTTATATAATTATAAAATATTAAATTTGTCCTTAATTGTGTCAAGAAGGAAACAACTAAACACATTAACTTTACACATTAACTGACAAACTGAGAATAAAGAAATGATGTAACTTTTAAAATTTGAATCGAGGAAAGGGATGTTTTCAAGTTATATGAGGGAAGGTGTTTAACCTGTACATCTAGATTTTCGTGTTAACATGAAACCTCGATATCCTAAACACCTTTGTTATTATTTTTGGGGGGAGGGTGATTTTTTAGCTGTTAAAATGCTGAATAGGGATCTCAATCTATTTCCGTTTTCTTGTCATTTTTCCTTAAGTGTGAGCAAGATGAAAGATGGAGGTTCTTGGACACCTAAGAAACAGGTAAATTATTATCTCATTTGGTTATAAACCTGAAGTATATATACATTTATAAGATGATGACGTGGATCCTAAACAAATGATTGGTTGAGAGCGTACACATGACCAGGCATTTATTTTGCCTAACACGTAATTTTGATAATGACCGGTCATTATCCAAATAATGTTATAAAACATCATTTTATAAACATATAAAACATAATCTTTTAAAACAAATAATACACATCATTTTGTTCGGGCATTAGTAAAATTACCCACACTCAGTACCTTCAAAACAGTCCAAACACCCTCGGCTATCGCCTTGGGCAAGTTAGACTGTTCCAAAGGTACCTTGTGTTGGTAATTCTTACTAATGCCCTCACTGCTGTGTATTATTTGTATAATATATGTACATGTAACTCAAGATTAAACTCATTTTATTCCATGTCGGGTAGCTGAAAGCGAAACAAAATTGGCATTTCATCTTCTTTTTTCAGAATGACGTGGGCAAATCTTTCAAGCCTAAGGAGCGAGGTGGCATAGCCTCAGAGGGTGGGGTACGAGGGCGCTTGGCCATGTTTTCTGGGGGAGGAGACTCTACAGACTCCCCACCAAAGGTAAGTCACTTTAATCATCGTGTTCAGTGCTTTAGGCCTAACTTACCACTTATATTTCAAAGAGAAGGTCAAGCTCAGTTGTAGGTGAAAACTTATATGTGAGATTTATAATCCTTTATGTTATTTTGGAAGAATATTTTTAAAAATACATCATGGAAAATGGAAAGAATACGGTTTTCAGGCTGTTGTATTCTTCCCTTTTCAGGTTTCATACTTTGCAGAATTTATCAGGGCCCTGTCTCAATAACAAGTTTAAAAAGCTGTTTTTAAAGATACTATGTCCCTTTTGCAGCCAACATTGAATTCTGTAGAACTTTGCAGGAATTATGAATATGCCATGTATGTTCTATCTGAAATTTAAGCGTACGCTGAGCAAAATATCTCGAGCTCGAGTCTCAAGCTGATGAAGTCTTGATTTGTAACTTTGGGCTTATTTCCCAAATCAGAAATAGCAAGCTATTTGGCAATCGCGAGCTGATGAGGACATACCTAAGGGGGGATTCATGATTCTTATCTTGATTCATGGTTCTTTGATCTTCTCCTTTCATTTATTTCCATAACAGAAGTCAACTCCTGCTAAGGTCAACATTTACAAGTAAAGTGGGCGACACCTGATGGAACTGGAATCTGAACGGAGATGACCAAACTATCTAACTTTGTCATACATGATATACATTAGCTTTAAGATTATATTTATTCTTTGTAGTAATCTGTGTCATACAAACTTGTGATTGATTGAAACACTACACGTATAAGGGGGTTTTAACGACAAGGATTTGTTTTAGAGTGTCTAATCGAATGTAATCTGTGTCATACAAACTTGTGATTGATTGAAACACTACACGTTTAAGGACAATGATGATTTAATGTAGAGTGTCTAATCAGTAGCTTGCTGTTTTTTATTTACACAACGTTCTTTGGTATTGTCTATTGTTTTAGCTTGATCCAAGATCTTTGCAAATTTATATGCACATTCTTGTATGTGAATCTTGTAGCATCTGCATGTATGCTCTTTATACTGTTCTGAAACTCTGCTATTTGAAAGTACGCGTACAACCTACCTATATTCTATATTATTCTTTGAATATATCATTTGCTGTTACAATTGCGTATTGATATTCTTTTGGTTTAATAAGTGAATATTATAGTACAATTCCAGGCCAAGCTATTTTGTCCCATATGTCACCAACCTTATCTAAGATTTTAGTATATATCGATGGGTCAGTGACACAAAGACGCAACTCTATTTTGAGAAAAAGTGGCTTATGTGTCACTGAGCACTTGGGCCTTAAGGAGTTAAGTCTATGTTTCACTAGCCATTGTCTTCAATAGAGTGTTGGGTGGAGTTTACGTCTTTGTGTTTCCTGGAAAGCCCACATTTTTCTGAACATTTCGACATCAAATACTCATTTTGGTAAAATATGGAATTATGTCTTTGTGTCACTGAACCCTCAATATGTTGACTGTATCAAGCTGATAACCCTGCTTGTGCTTGAATCGAACAAAACAGTAAATGAAGTGATATTTTCATTTATGGTCACAATTCTATTATACAATTCAATAATTCTTATGGGACATATACACTTGTATGTACCCCTTAGTAAACGCTGTACGTGTAGCATTATTACTTCTTTATTACATTGCAAAACAGGTATATGTAGTATCCGAGTGAGGTATTTCCCATAAGAAAGCATAGCACAAAACGACAATAGAACATGTTTTGCCTTTCTGCCTACATGTACATGTAAAGGGGAGTAAGCGATTTTGGTTCCTGAAAACTGTGAAAGTACTCTGGTAAAAACAGTAAAATACCTTTATATGTCACTGTGAGAAACTCACACTTACACAACACCAAACCCTAAAGAAAGAGCTTCTGTGAACAGACAAGTATTTGTGTACTCTTGTATGTATGATTAATTTCAGTTACATGTATTTATTTTTTTTTTGGTTCGGCAGAGCGCAATCCGTGCATAGACAGCATAAGTTTAAAGAGTTTTCTAACATCATCTGTGAAAGGTGTATATGCAGCACAGTTGCTAAACTGATGACTCTACATACGCATGTCATTTCCATATGAACCGTAACTATACTGTTTATTGGAAAACATGTATATCTGGAGTAATTTCCAGATATCACATCTATATTGTGACCATTGTAAACAATAATCAAAATGTTTTTGAGTAAATTAGATTTATGTTAGTCTTTGATTAAAAATGATGCAAAACCCAAATAGCTCTGTATAACTAATGTCCAGATTTTATAATTAGGATTAATTATTGCTACGTGATGCTTATACTTTACACAGTATTATGTAACCAACTTATTCAAATAGATGTGCTATATACATGTATGTGTATATGGTCAACCTTAAAGACATTCAAAAATAAAATATCATTCTGTAGAGATTAAAAGAATTTGCATTGTTATTAATATTTAAAAAACCGTTTTCCTATACAAGAGAGAAAAAAAATGGCCATATATCAAAAATACATAATTATGACATATTATTACTGAATATAATGCTTTGAAATGTACATTTTGACAGTTTAAATGTATCTTGACACATTTCTGATCAGAGAAAAGTAGACTACGGACTACTGCCAATCCAGTAACTCCGCAATATACAACTTTTGTAATTCGGATGACCATTCTGATGGCAAGAATCTATTGTGAAGAGATAATAATGTTGTCCTGTGATTCAATAATTTCACGACATGAAACTTTCGCAAACGTGGACTTCTTGCGAAATTCGCGAAACATAGAGCGCAAAAAAAGTTTCTGGTTTTTACAGTAGCATCTAGGGCTCTCTTTCATAACAAGTTGGGATTAGGACAAATGCGACTTTGTCTCCAATATGATTATGGCTTGAAATATTATGAGAACATAACGCTTATGAATTTTATAGCATGTCAATATTTACGACGTTTATTCTCAGACTGGACACTCCCAAAATCTGATCATTTTTTCTCGCTATGGTGACACATACTATGTACATGTAGTAACAATTTTTAATTCACAGCTAAAATAACTTAAAATAGTAATTCATATGGAGATAATTACCAAGGTTAAAAAACCTTAATTTCATGTATATCGGCTGGCTGACCCAAAATCTAATCAGTTTGTGTCTCTCTGGTGATGTCTTACATAACAGAATTTAACAATTTTCCCTTTTTTAGTCATTAATAGGGAAATCCCTGTCCTATTGTAAGAATAGTAGTAGAGTAGCAGTAGTAGAGGTGTAGTGGTCAAGTGAATATATCACCATACTGTGAATCACAAGGTCCGAGGTTTGAGTCCCGCCGCGGCACTAATGTCCTTTGGCAAGACATTAATCTACATTTGCCCCACTCAACCCAGGTGAGGTAAATGGGTACCTGGTAGGATTATTCCTTGAAATGCACTGTGCACTGATAATGGCTGCCGGAGCTAAAACTAGGGTAGTAATTTCCAAAAACTCTTTGGAAGCGCATAGAGACTTTATTTCATAATGTGTTATATGCGCTATATACAAGAACGGACTATTAGTGCACTATGTAAAGAGCAGTCAAAACCTTAAAAGAAAGTTATCAAAATTGCTTTGTGGCATGCATGGTTGGTAACAAACTTCGGACAGGTGATCTATGATCAGGGCCCCATTTCATAAAACTTGATAACAATAACAAGATAACCACTTTGCTCTCAGCCAATCACCTGTTAGCATTTCAGTAGCTTATAACAGGTATTGGAACTTGTTATCAATATCAAGATAACAACTTTGCTTTCAGCTAATCATCATCATCATCATCATCATCAATATCATCATGATCATCATTATCATTACTCTTATGGCTCGTGTTTGCTGTTTAAATAAACGTATCTCACAGTAATATTTAAAATTTGTCCAGGCACTATATTGCGGCGATAGTTGAAATATGGATAGTTAGTAAGTATCAGGCGCGTATGCAGGGGAGGGGGGGGGGTAAACCCCGCTCCCTTAATTTTTTTTAATGTGTGCATTATTGAACACCCCCCCCCCCCCCTTTTGCAGATTAAAAAAAAAATAATAATAATTATGCCAATGGCTGACCTAAAAAAGTGACCTTACCCCCCCCCCCCTCCCCTACGGAGCAAAATGTCAAATTTTCAAATTTCGAGACCCCAAAAAAAGAAAAAGTATCCTCTTCCCCTCCTCCACCCCCCCCCCCCCCCCCCCCCCCCCCCGCTTATTCAGCGGCTGACTGAGTCGTTGTGATTTTTTGGGACCAAAAAAAAAGAAGAAAAGAGTATCCACTTACCCCCCCCCCCCCTCTTTTTCAGCGGCTGGCTGAGTCGTTGCGATTTTTTTGGGACGAAAATAAAAATGTCCTCTTACCCCACCCCCCCCCCCCCCCTTGAAAAAATCCTGCATACGCCACTGTGAGTAATATACAACATTTTAAAGATATAGGTTGGGAATACTTTCAACTTATTTAAATGCTTATATTTTTCAATACCTTATTACATATCAGAATATATATACATGTAGAATATAATGTTATTGTCTTCTTCCGAAGAAGGAAGAAACTTTCCTTCCAGGTGATCATACATAACAATTTCACAACTTATACAAAATTTATAATATAAATACAATCATAACAAAATATCAAATGTTTAACAAGTATAAAAAGTATGAGTTAATGAATAATTCATACATATAATACAAATTACATTAAACATAAGGATAAGGGAAGAAGACAAAAAGGAAGAGATATAGAAGAATATAGAATGATGGAAATTAAAGGAGACCGTAGCCCTGGGGTAAGAAACTCAAAAACCGACACCCCCCCCCCCCCCTCCCCACCACCACCTCCAGGGCCTCACTCTCCTTCAAACAATTACGAAGAGACATAGAGACCAGAAAGAGAAAAAAAGAAGAAAAGGGTGGGGAAGAAAGGAAAGTAACATAAAGAATAGGAGAGAGAGAGAGGGGGAGAGAAGGAGGTGAATAGACCAGTTCACGGTTAGCACATTACTGCAATGACCCCGAATATCCACAGATCTTAAAAACATGAAGAGGTCCCACTTTGTACATTTTGAAATAATCACTCCTACAGCGATGGAGGTGCTACATAAATAGCCTTTGTTTCCCCTTTTCAAAGAATACTTCCACCTGTATATCATGGAGTGCATAAATGAATAATGATTACATAACTTTCATGAGCACGTTTCCAGTATTTCGTCTCCGTGTATTTCACAATTTGTTCTGCAATGACCTTTATCTGCTCATGCTCAGACTGCAACCGTGAACTGGCTTATTAAAGGAAAGTAAGCGAGAATTAGGAGAGAAAGGAAAGAGGGAGAAAGTACATGGCATATATAAAAAAAAAAAGTTTAGAAAGTCATTGGGAGGGCAGCTGCACTACTGCTGCTCGAAGGAAAAGTACACGAAATAAACTAGAGACTGACTCCTAAGTACATGTTGGCATTATCACCAATGTGATATTGCCAAGATAGTTTATTATCAATGGTTTCGCCCCCAAATTTCAATATCAATATGCGATGAACAATTGTATTGTTTCTACGTCACCTTATCAAAATTGCATATCTTATTTGAGAAAAATCATAAAATGAGTTTTATGTATATTCAAGATTAATCTATTTACATTCAACCACTCTGTCAAAACAATTAATACAGTTACTGTAGTAAATGTGTGTTGTAGAGTTTGTAATTTTGTTAAGGGGAAACATGTGAATGACACAATGGTATCATCTGCAAATAAAATAAATTGTACCATTGGAACCAGTGGGATGTGAACCTGCCAAATAAAGCTGCTTGCTGGGCATCAACACTACCACCAGGCCATCAATGGTCCATAGCACAGTCACAATGAACTGAAAAGAAATACCTCAGCTCTCCTTGTTCATTACAACTTATTCCACCATGAGGAAAATAGCTTTAAAATGTTTGACTTTCTGGGAGAAGTTTCAATTGTTGTTAATTAATTTTTTGGCTTGCACCAAGTAAATAAGATTGCGTGCCCGGATCTTCTAATTGTAAACTAGCGAGAAAAATTATGGTACCAGCTTGTTTTCAATTACAAGATCAATAAGCCAGTTTACGGTTGCAGTCTGAGCATGAGCAGATAAAGGTCATTTGTACCAAAAAGGTAAAACCCACAGAGATGAATACTGGATATGCGCTCATGAAAGTTATGTAACATTATTCATTTATGCACCAACGGTACATTCTAAGATACGCACAGGTGTAAGTATTCTTTTCAAGAGGGCTAACAAAAGGTATTCATGAAGCACATCTAGACTTTGGCAGTTATTATTCTAAGATGCTCAAAGTGGAACTTCTCCATGTGTTAAAGATCTGTGGATATTTGTACCATGTGCTATCTGTAAACTCCCTTATTACAAGATCAAGCATGCAATCTGGGTCAAGTATAGATCCCTGGGGCGCCCTTCATCATATTCACTTCATTCAGGATTCATACTTGTTAATTATAACATACTTTTTGTGAGTAGATAAATAACCAAAGAACCCATTCAATATTACACCACTTATTCCATAATTTTCTAATTCGCTTCACAAAATACCATGATCTCACATATCAAACACTTTACTCCAACCTTGACGAATTAACTAAATGATGATTGTTTATTGTCATACTTTGTGAATGAAGGCAACCAAGGCAAATGATTAATGATTAATTATATTGCACTCAGTGTAAAAACATGATATTGTACTACTACTAATAATAATAATAATAATTATTATTATTGTATTTAATTTGTATAAAGCGCTTAATACAAATGTCTTTAAGCGCTTTACAAATATACTAAGTAGATGCTCAATCACCCCCAATCAATCATGCAAGAAACAAACTCAGGAAAGAAACACCTACAAAAATATGTAGCTGAACAGAAGTACTAAAAATACAAGTCGTTTGCAAGGAGAATTGCAGAAGTGCTCTGATTTATTGCATGCAAAGCAGACCCCATTGTACATGGTTCTACATAATTATATTCAAGTAGATTCAAATGACACAGAGAAATAACCAATAGAGAGGCGAAGAAGCCAGTGGAGGTTACGGAGAAGGGATGTGGTAGAAGTGAGACCAGTTGCTTTCTCTGTGATTCTGGCTGCGATGTTTTGAATTCTTTGAAGCTTCATAAGTTCGTTGGCAGGAAGATAAGGAGGAAGTGCATTGCATGTACATGTGACGAAGGCATGGATGAGAGTGAGAGTTGTCTTCCGGTCTAATTCATAAAAACATTGCTCACTGATTTTTGGAAATGTACAGAGTACAGACTGATATTGGGCAATAATTCATGACTTCTTCATGATATCCATTCCTGTATACAGGTACATGTTCAACCATAGCTATTTTAAGTTTGTCAGTCCTGTTGCTGGATAGACCTAGACCGATTAATGGTTCCATCCTGTCCCTCATACATTAATACAGTAGAGCTACATAAATCCTAAACACCCTGCCATATTAGGTATAGATATATATATATATATATATAACCTATTTCTTGTGAATTGTTCAATATCTATAATTATATCTTACTTCCCAACATCATATGCATGTAAATATATGAAATAAGAATTTCTTTACAGATTATAAACACAATATTACACAGTGCACAATCTGGTGTACTGAGTATTCATAATTATTATTATTATTTTTTAAATCAAGTACCATTTTGTTCATGATTGTAGAGTGTACCGGTACTCTATTTCAGGATCTTCTTTGTGGTATTACCACAAACACTCTAAAGTAATTAAAGTGATGATATTCTACCACACTTATATTTTGCACATAAACGTATATTCTACACCTCATCTTGATACATAACTAATAAGTAAGAATAAAACAATGAGTACTCACATTCTCTTGCTGGTATTAATAGATTAACACTGATTCCAATTTGTCCGATGTGGAATCATAAGACCTAGACTATCATCGTCCTCTATACAACCCCTATATATTCACCAAGAGCTGAATATTCTATTCTTACAAACAACTCCTAATACTTTGTGTAATATCTCAAACAAGTAGTTTCTGCTTCAAATTGCAACAGCTTCTGAATTGGGATTGAAATTCTAGTTGAATTTTACCCATATAACTTATGGTCAAGATTTTGGGTGACTAATATTCTAAGAAATAGTTTTGGAGTCTACCCCCGCCAAATGGCTTTTGCCTTATTACTCATTTTATAAATAGAAAACGAGATGATGGAGAGAAATTTATGATGCAATCTAAGAGTCTGTAACAAATACTTGAAATAACAGTAATATATACAATCTAACATTTTAATGCACTATTACACAAATTAACTTTTGTCCTCTGCGGTCCCCAATGCTTGGTATCAGCTGCTCAATTGTTGTACACATTACCTACATATAGGCCCCTACATGTCAGAGTCTCATGGCTTGCTCACTTTTTTTTCTTCCAGTTGATGTTTTCTGTTCAACACTCGACTAAAGCATTGGAGGTAATAGACTTCTTTTCAAGGCTTGCAACGAACAGTCACGTATCACGTATCACGTTCACGTTCACGTCTTGCGCCCTTTCGTGAAACAGGTAACGCAAATCTACAAAGTATTGGGTTATGTGAACCAACAATTTGTTGATTTTTCTATATGCTTTTCTAATGTACAATAAAATGTAAAAATACAAAATAAAGTATCTTGTATGGTGCAATGATCGATGTAGCGATCGAGGCTAGCAGGCGCGGATCCAGGGGGCCGAGCGGGCCTTGGGGAAAAAGAAGGGGGAAAAGAAGGAGATCGGGGGGGGCAAAAGGGCAGAAAGGGCCTTGCCTCCCAGCTGTTACCTCCCCCCCCCCCCCCCCCCCCCACATCAAAAATAAGAGAGAAGGAAGGAAAGGGAAAGAAAAAAGGAAAAGAGGAGATAAAGGGAAGGGAAAAGAGGGAGAAGAAAAGAAAATAAGGGGGATATCAGTTGCATCGGGGGGGGGGGGGGCTTGGGAGGGGGGGTGACAGATGCCCCTCAAATATAATTCAAATGTGGTCTGTTTCTAATTCGATAACGGTGATTTACAAATGTTGCTGAAATTACATAATTTTCCGAGATTTTTCCTCAATGTTTAGTAAATTATACTTTTTTATACGTTTGTCGAAAAATGGCATATTCATAAAGAAAGAAAGAAAGAAAAAAATAGTGACCTGCCGTTTTCACAAATAATAAGGTGTCAGAATTTGCTCATCTGACCGTCAACGTGACTGTTCGATGCAAGCCTCTTTTCAAGGATCTTGTTTTTCTTTTTTAAGAAGATAAGTAGTATATTGTAAATAACAAAAATCAAAATTAAGAAGCTTAAGGCAATGTACACGTACACGGGTCTTTTGGAATTGGAACATACATCTGTGTTTGTAGCCGTGTCTGTAATCATGTGTGGAGGGGAAGAAGGGGTTTCACCTTCCAGTGTGAAGTTTTGTGTTGATTGTGAGTGTTGTGTAGGTGAGACAGTAGTGCTCAGGTCTGTAATGTCTGTTAATGCCATATTCTGAATGGGATCCCATCCACAATCCCTGCATTGCTGCATGGTCTTTGTTTGGTCTAAGGTGGATGAACAACAGCGTACAGAGTGATCTTCTATTCTTGCCAGTATGACCTGACTTAATCGTCCACCATTTTCGACAGGTGTTCCTAAAGGGGGTAGCCTCATGCCATTCTGGTAACATACAATTTGGCTTGCAAGATTCCCTAAAGGAGCATTGCATTGTAGCTTGATCCATGCTCCATCTAGATGGTTGCTACTTGATTCACAAGAAGCCCTGCCAGGAGGGTAAGCAACACGTAAACCAATTCTAGGGTACTCTGGTAGCAGTTGACTATGGTTATATACTGAGAGAATATAGGTACCCTCATCGCTTCTTAAAACAGGGTCAATGATTAGGAGGATAAAGCAAGTAGGGTCATCGTCATTTTTCTCATGATTTTCAAGTTCATATCGTTGAGGCAAAGGGTTAGAACCTAGATTTTCTGAATTGTAAAAGGGAGCTCTGTAGCTATGTTGCAATGTGGTCTTTGTAATATTACATGGGTATGAAAAGTTCAGTTTTGCTTCTTCCCCTTCTCTGACATTCAGTATTGTACAGACACTTGGTCTGTAGAATGTGAGAAAAATAAGGACAAATACGTACATGCTCATTTTACCTCTGATTTCATGGAAAATGCACATGATTTAAGATATGCTGTTGCATGTAAATAAAGATAACATTTATTCTTTAGACAGCCTTTAAAAGTCAAAGTAGATTACAGAGTGGGTTGGAAGGCATCCAAAGCTGTCTTTTAGATTCCACAAGACGTACATGTATCTCATGATCCTCTGTAAGATATTGCAAATATTAACCTGTTAACTTCTGACTTCTCTCATTCCCAAAGACTATAACACAGCAAAACTTGGTTCCAGTACGTAATGGGTGAATGAAGATTTATATTCCTCTGTGATTTAAGAAGCTTGGCTCTTGGACCTTATATCCTTGTTGATGATGACGAGAAATATCCACTCAGAACAAGAATTGCAATCGAATTGTTTACAGCATATAAGTTGAGAATCTTGAGATCGGGTGTAAAATCAATGCCTTTTACTGTTCTCCAAGTAGCACATGGTCTGTATCAGATAGTACTTGAATCCAGCATAAAAAATGAACTCGAATTCTGCCTGGACTTCAGGAGTAAACAGTATCCTGTTTTTGTTTCTGTAAGCTTTGCGTATTTGAGCTTGTTTGCTTTACTGTTTTTCATTGAGCCTGAAAAAAATGTGGATTCCTTCATCAGCTGTGGTTATCCGGTGCCATTCATCATTGATGAAGGTTAAAGTTTTAATGTTGCATTTCCCAACAATTCAATAGTTCTCTGAAGACAGGTTTGAAAGAGTCGAGCAGTGTGCTTATGTCTGAGAAAAAAAGGAAAAATCTTTATATTCATGTCTTTTTCCAACAACTGATTAAATAGGTAAGAGGCAGAAGTACACCCTTTCACGGTTAAGGCCGCCATTTTAATTTGCAAGTAAACATTGCGTCATCAATGTTTTCAGATGGGCATATATTGTTGCGTTACTGCCTGCGCTGTGCGCTCACATCATATTGACATGGGCGCCATTTTGAATTACAAGTAAACAACTTTGTTTACTTGTGAAACTGAAAGGGTGTATTGATATATTTACTCTTTCTCTTTTAATATTTAAATCTTACAAACAGAAGCATTGCCTTTAATGTTTCACACATATAGTGAGCATGCATACATTATTTCAATGATTGCAGAAAGATGAAAAACATGAAATCAGAGAGAGGTGATTGGACATTTCAGTTCAGTATTAAAATTCAAACCCATCTCTCAAATGTTTAGTATTTTGTTAATATTTATCAAAAAATACATTTCATTGTAATTCAGAACACTACCACGTATGAGGAATGGTTTGACCATTTCCATAACATGTAGGAATATGACAATATACCTGTTTTCCACGACCAAAAACACAAGTCCAGGAAGTAGAGCTTGAGATTTTGTAATAAACTTGTCTTCAGCATTGGATAGGGGATGTAGGATATTAGTGAATTGTATCCTTTTTGAAATTCTGTAAAGACCATCTTAAATGAAATATAAAGATTAATTTTCATAACTGAAAAGAATATAACATTGTACTGAAACTTACCGATGTAGACTTTTCAAATATCTGGCTGTGGTAGAGTGGCAGTGTGAAGTTATTATGAATAGTAAACCAAGTGAAAATGTTTTGGGGATGTGACTGAGACCATGTGATATATCCTGTTACCGGTAGGGTTTCCCTTTTAAAGTGACTCAGTAACATTGTTGAAGGTTGATGAAAAAAACGGTGTAATTTTTGTATGAAATGTTACTTATTATATTATTTACACTGTACTAACCCTCTAACATGCAAATATCCCAAACAAATTCTCAAACCACAAAGATATTTATGGTTTTCTTTAAAGCGTCATTGTGCGACACCCTTTAATAGTAAATTCTCCCAACCATTTTAAAATTTTCCCAACCGTCTTTCCATGAAAATAAGACATAAGACAGACTTTTAAGAATCTATCAACACTTAAATGTCTGGAATGGTATATAGAGCCAATACATTGCTTTGTGGCCATTTTCATTCTTGTTTACTGTAGGTTTTACTTAATTAATTTAATATTTTTAGCCTGCAAAAGGGATAGACTACCTTTTAAACTCAACCTATTTTTTCCTTCAAATTTATCATCTGTCTCCTTTTAGTTTTGATTAATGTACAATGTACGTGTACAGGATATAGAAGAAGAATAAACCTACCCGTATAGCTGTCATATATTATTTTTGAAACTAACATACATGTATAATGTGGATATTACATTATATATGTAGGTTTTTCTTCCCAGTTTCTATTTGACAATCATGTTTTGAACAATGTACATACTGGTATATACAGTGGCATGCATATTAACTCCTTATTAAAAAGTACAGTAATAAGCAATATGAGTCTGAAATCTATTCCGTGATGAAGAGTAACTTGTTTCCTTTCCCATGATACTCTATTCATAATATTTCTGCCCCAGATGACTGAGTGCCAAGGTCTTTAAAAAGTGTTGTCGAAATATACTTGTACCAAGTTTGGGCTGATGGAACAAATGTGGCTCGGGCCATATGGTCTGAAACCCTTTTAAAAGTTAAATTATGCATCACGTTTCACTGCTTCATTATACAAAATTATGCAATGTATTCTAGGCTTTCACATAACCTTGTTTTGATCAATAGAATAAGCTTTAATTTTTTTGAACAGCCTACTATTAAACTTTGTGTCTCTTGATATCTAAATTCTCTCTGCTCACTTGTATGCTGCGCCATTTCACACACGTAAGGAGCATAAGGTGTTTAGTTTGAATAGCGAATGAAAATTCAAAGGTTACTAAACCCAAATAAAAGAAAGAACACATAATTATGATGATAAGTATTAAAGGGAATTGACTGTAGACTTTCATAAAACTAGATTACATGTCAGTAAACTTGATCCATTTTTATAAAGTAGGCTTGCGGTTGCACCATGTGAGAGAGAGAGGATTGAGGAGTCCTGAAAAAATGACTCTCAGTAATTTTTCTTGAGGGTGTGTAGTCCTGAAAAGGACTGTTGGTGTAGTAGTCTTGAAAAAGGTCCATTTTGATCCATTTTGTATCACTCAATAAGAGGTCTACCTTAAACAAGGGATGCGAATGAATTGAAGATTGTAATCATCACAAGTTTTGGGAATTTTCGAAAATTGGATGGATAATAATTCTTAACAATTTTGATATATTTGGATGCCCCCGTGGATTTATTATAAGCACTAGAAAATTTAGCTCCTAAACACTTCAGCTTTCAAGAAATTGAATGATAAAAAATGGCGAAAACGATCATTGAATATTGTAAAATCGCATATGTTTCAAATATTTTCATTTGAACCAAATTCATGACCCCATACCAAAACTTTGTATGACCTTTAAGTGGAGTTGAACATGTCCAGCTACATGTACAGTATATCTGTTTGTTTCCACAAGTATGTGTGTGTGTGTGTGAATTTTCAGACAAGTATTTTCGTCTAGGACTGACCTTTAGCATCAACATCTGAAAGATGCGACTCAATTTCGAACCGTGGTCTGATCAGAGGTGTTTGCTCTACAATGTCTTGCAAATGTAATGTTTTTTGTCAGTGTTATAAATTAAAATTATTTTCCATTAGTGGGGTCATGAATTTAATTCAAATGAACATATTAGAAGCATATGCGATTTTCAATGATCGTTGTCGCGGTTGAAATCGAGTCGAAAGTGATGAAATTGTAAATAATAAACTCTTTATGTCGTATAGCGCCCTCTCAAGACTGATATTACTATAGCTCTAAAACAATGTTTCTGGACTACGATCAACCAATTTGCTATTCCTGTTTAGAAATTATATATCAGAACTGCATGCAGCTACATGTACCATGGAATGGCCATAGGCTTTGTGAAATATTTGAAATTTATCTGGAGCACAGGTACATTTTTTATTATCAAATTTCTCGAAAGCAGAAGTGTTTTATAATGCTTATAGTATAACCACAGGGGCATCCCATTATATAACAATTTGAAAGAATTACTATCAATCCAGTTTTCAAAATTTCCCAAAACTTTGCATTACTTTTAATCTGTGTACCGGTATGTCTTTCCCAGCACCTTGAGCCAATAACTAATCCTAAAAGAGAGTAGAATAATGATGACGTTTATAATACTAAAGAGGAAGAAGAATAGTAATAAGAATAACAATCATAATGATAATAATACATCTGCAGCAGCAGCAACAACAACAAAAACAACAACAAAAACAACCTCCCTAAACCCGCTCCAGTGTTTTTAAATCTAAATATATTAGATGATCAAGTGCATAGTTTCTTTAGTCCTCCTTTAAAGGGATCTGGTAACTTTGTCTAAGATTCTGAAACAAAATCCTGAATTTTAGCTCATGCTGCAATAATAATTATAAACCTTTAGGTCAGTCAGGAACTTTTAAAAGCCGATCGCCTGTCTGGTTATCAAGATATTTATGATTGGAAATCGAAACCAAATTTGTGCTTGCCAAACGGTTTTCATAATACTACAGTCTATTGGGGAAAACGAGTATGGTAAAACCGGTCACTCAAAGATTTTTTTCTTTTTTGAGGCACTTCTTGATCAATTTGAAGCACAATTTTGTTAGGGCTTCAATATTACACCATATCACAGACACTGGTACACGGGCTGTGCATCTCAGATATAACATTGTTAAAGGTAAAGATCAGTTCTGGTCATGCGATTGAATTGTGAAAGAAACGTTGTGGATTCGATCAGAAAAGGTTGATCATCTAGCAATGGTGTGTACTGCACTACTGCAAGGTTCTGGAATCACAAAATGATAATAAATTTGGCCCAGTCTTGGTAAAGTTACAAGCACTGTACACAGACAGATGTATATGGGACTACGCAATACATGCGTGACACGTGCGTGATATCTATCAGGTCCAAATAGATATAATAATTTACCATATATCAATTAGTAGGCGGTTTCCCGGCAAAATCTGTATCATCACGTATTAGTCAAAATATATTATTTCACATGATTGGTATTAAGAGCTTCCATTTCATTTTTTTGAGGGGGGGGCATTTCCAAAACTGGTCTTTACCTTTAAACGATGTCTTTAATGATCAGGTTAAGTGTGTCTTTGTTATCAAGGGTTGATTGCAGAGGAACAGGCGTTAATTATGTGCCGATTTAGCTGAAAGTTCTTGTTTAAAAATGACCTGCCCTGGCTGTACACACACATCACCACTTACAAAACCTGTACATATAACACATGTTCATCTGCCTCTCAATTACAGAGGAGAATTCTGTGTCTGCTGCCCTTTACTATCCTTGTGGGGGCATCTTCTGAAAATGTAAACTTTTCCTATCAAAATTTGGTATGATCTTTGTATGGTTAAGGTTACTACAGCCTAAAAAAGTAATAAGAATGAACAAAACAAGCTTACCACAGTCAGCACAGCTAGAGTCCCGATGTTAAAAATAGAGGATGACGTATTTGAGCATACTTGAGATAGCATAGAGTATGAGCAGGGACATGCTACAGTATACACGTCCCTGGTATTCGGGTTGAAAGAGAGGGGGGAATTTGTTTCCCTTCTAAATGTCACCACATCCTCCTGGCCGCTTGATTAACATAACTGTGACTCATGAATGTCTCGATGTACTAGTCCACTGCCAAGACTGTACTGTATAATGTGTCTTGCACAGTCAGCTGAGAAGATAACATATCCTCAACACTAAACAGGAGACAGTCCTTTCATTATTTTTTTTTTGGGGGGGGACACTAGAGACACTGCACTGTTTCGATTGCATGTATAAAAGGAGGAGCACAAATGGACAGAATCTGAATTATACATTTATATGTACAGGTGTATGCATGTTCAAATTCGGTAGCTAACTTTGTTCAATTTTTAAAGGGGGAAACTACATGTATACTCTCAATCTACAACCAGCATTTCATGTTCTTACGCAGTGGCTTCATAGAAATCCCCTCTTAAGAATATTATATATTTTTGTCAATTGTTAGACTGACCTGGGTCCTGTTTCATGAAATTTGTTATCAATAACAAGTTACAATAAGCATTATAAGCTACTGAAATCGCTGCATTTGATTGGCTGAGAGTAAATTTGTCTCATGATTCTAGCAATAGTCATTGATAGTAAATTTTATGAAACAGGGCCATGGATCACGAAAAAACATGGTCATTGCAATATGAACTACAAAAAAGTGCAAAGTGTATATTAATTTTTTTCTTCATGTATTGCTGGGTTTAAAAATTTTGTGTGTATCTTTTGTTCAATGGGGCCATACATCCGTGTGGCATGTTTACACTAAGGAAAGTGGAAGGATACTTTCTTTTAAGTGGATAAGTGCATAATCAGAGAATGGATGGCTAGTGATGTACCTAACCGAAAGGCGATTTGATATTAACTTCATTACTGTTGGTTTCTAGAGTAAGACCTGCATTTGGAGGATGGGGGAGGTGATAATGGATAGATCATACCCCCATCATTAGGAGCCTTTATATTGCAAGCAACACCCTGGTTGTTTTTAGCATTACATGGTTTTTGTCAAATATTATTACATTTTACACTCGCTTCTTTAATATTTTTTTTTCATTCTGCATGTATTTTTATTTTGGAAGTGGTGGGGATATCTCGTCTTTTGCCCTTTGAAAAAACAAACTATAATCCACAAGGAAAGCCCATGAACAGGAATCTTTTGGAAATCCCTGCCATTGGTTGTTTTTTTAATTTTTGATCAACATTTATGTATGCTATCATTTTCTATGTATGTTATCATTTCATGTTATGTTCCTGAAAAGTAAATAATGAAAAATAAAAATGAATAAACACAATTTTCTTTCAGGAGGAAACTCGTAAGATGAGAGAAGAAATACAGCGTCGTCGTCAAGAGGCTGAGGCTAAACGCAACAAGGCAGAAGAAGAGAATCAGACGATGTACTCTATTCCAAAGTACAACATAGCTGTAAGTACATTTACATACATGTAGGAGATATCGTGGTGCCAGAAGGGAATTAAATCTCTCTTCACCAAGTTGTAGATTCCGACCCAAAATACACATTATGGTTACAGGGAGTATGGAGATTAATTTATATTGTTCTCTTCATATTTTTCAAAGTATAATAATTATATTAATGATGATGTTGGCGATGATGATGATGATGATGGAGACGGTGATGACGACAATGGCGATGATGATAACGATGATGTTGATGGTGATGACAGTGATGTTGATGATGACAATGATGTTGATGATCATGGCGATGTTAATGATGGTGATGATGACGATGGCGTTGATAGTGATGACAATGATGATGATGGGGATGATGTTAATGGTGTTGTTGATGATGATGATGGTGATGATGGCGATAATGTCAATGTCTTGTTTTCCCAGGGTAGCCTGGCAACAAGAATTAGCGACAAAGACTAAAATATATTCTTGATACAATGATTCTGTTTCAGATGTCTTGCATCTTATGCTATTCTATTCCATTCTTCCTCATATGCAGGAAAACATCGCTAGAGCTAAGCAAGAGAAGATGCAGACTTCCGCCGAGATGATGGCTGAGAGGGAGAAGAGGGTGGAGGAGAACATTCCTCAGATACGCATCAGCGCCCACGACTCTGAAGAGCGCCTCCGTGAGATTGCAGAGATCCTCCACGCCAAGCTGGTGGAGGTGTACAGCGATATGTATGACCTTGAGCAGAGGAAGGAGAGGCAGGAATATGATGCAAGTAGATTGATGATGATTTGTTTGTTTGTTTGTTTTACTTGATTGCTAAGAATTAGCATTGTTATGCTTGTATTAAAGTAAGCAACCAGGGGTCCAGCTGCTTTAAGTCTTAAGTTATACACTGTATGACAATCTTTACATCCATTTTTTTTCAATTCTCTGGAGTTCATTAAAATGTTATCTTCAGTTTTACATGTATAGTGTCATGAATGAGAGGTTTACACATGCTCAAGGTAATTGTTCTTACTACTTTGATATATTTACAGCTTAATGAGATGAATGCTCGCATCAAAGATCTGGCCAAACACAAGTAAGTATTCAAAAGTACATGATATAGACTGATGTTCATAAAGAGGAAGAGAATAAGAACATCCATGTTTGTAGGCAAAGGGGAATAATGAGAAGAGAGAAGAAAATGTATCAGACAGTTGAGAACTAAACTATTCATTCCCTTTAATACCAAGTTTTGTAAGAGAGAGAGAGATAGAGAGTGAGTGAGTGAGTGAGTGGGAGGGTGAGAGAGTGAGTGATTGAGTTAGTGTGTACGTGCTTGCATGCATGCATGAGTGAACGAGAGAGTGAGTGGGTGGGAGAGTGAGTGGGTGGGTGGGTGAGTGAGAGAGAGTGTGTGAGTGGGAGGGCGGGCGGGCGGGTGGGTGGGTGAGTGAGTTAGTGAGAGAGTGAGTGAGTGGGTAGGTGGGTGGTTTGGTGATTGAGTGAGTGAGTTGGTGGGTGGGTGAGTGAGTGGGTGGGTGGGTGAGCAGGAAAAACAAGTGAGTGAATGAGAGAGTGAGTGGGTGAGTGAGTGAGAGAGTGAGTGAGAAAGAGTGAGTGAGAGTGAGTGAGTGAGTGAGTGGGAGAGAGGAAGAAAGAGAGCTAAGGACGGGAAAGGGGGTCACAGATTATTTCCCTCCACACAAGTACATGTCCTTCTTTTTGCTTCTCTAGCCACAAGGCATGATACATGTATTTCCGTATTTACTTGGGATTTCAAGTTAATCATACAGCTATGATCATAATCTTTACCATACCATAATTACGTGAACCTACTTATTTCTCATCGCACAGGACTGTCAAGGTTACCCCTGTTGATCAAGGGTAAGTGTATCTGTTTCCTCCTAAATTGTCACTTTGAATTCTGAACCTATTTCAAAACAATCTTTATGTGTTTCTCTGATAGTAAGAAGCTTAATGGTAGATCTAACATTGTCCGTTCACAGCCAAAAGGGTGTTAACTTTGTGTACACAAGTTTAAGTTCTTTTGGCTCCAAACAGATGCTATGTCCATTACAACATGCACATCATTCATTGATCAAGTTGTGCCCAATCTTAATGAGTTTCTAATATTTCATTTTCATGAATGATAGTGTTCCATATGAATTTTCTGTTGTTTTCTGTAATGCATCACACCTGAGTTTGCCTGGTTATGTTCATACCACTGAATGGATGTACGACTCTTTCTCCTGCGATGATTGTTCTGTGTTAATCTCCTGCACTAACCAATTTCTTATTCTTGGACCCAACAATACACCTAACCCTAATCTTTAACCTTTACTTAAAAATAACCTTGAACCCAATTGCAACCCTATCCCTCTAGTCCTACACTTTTGATGAAATAATGCCTGTAGCAATTGTGACAAGAGCAAATGTTGGGTCACCCGTTATACCTGTACCACTTGCCCCCTTTGGGGACAACTGTCATCTTCCATAGCAAAGATAGGGAATCTCCCAAAGATGGTTGGTAGCTTTTAAATGAATGAAAGTGCCTATTTTTTTACATGATTTAATTTAGGATGATATTTAATTCGGCATGACTTGATTGGTTCCATGTTTTAATAATATAATTTGCTATGATTTGGTTTTTTATAATTTGATATTATATGTTATGATTTGATTTGATTTCATGATTTGTTCTGATTTGACTTGATTTTATGATTTGCTATGATTTGATTTGGATTGTTCATCTAACCACTAACTATAGGCATGTCAGCATGCTGAAGGAAAAGGGATTCACGTTTGATGACAAGGTACTGCTATGTTGTCTCAAAATAGAGTAGACTGGTTTAGATTTTTCTTTTATGATAATCCAACCTTATTACCAAGTTACTCTGAATTCTTCTTTTATTTGCAATCAAGTTTTGATAGAGGTTAGAGAAATGAAATTAAGCAAATAAAAGGTCATTTTGGGTTGGGAGACGAAATTTCTTTTTTTTAAAGTAACTTTGTAAACACAAGAATAACATTAGCTAGATTTAAACACACTTCGAAAAATGAATACTGATTATATATTTTATATATATATTTTTTTAAAAGGTTTATTTACTTTAATTTTCAAGTTTAAAAAAAAACGAGGCGTGATTGATAAAAAAAAACAACTTTATTAAATTCATATTACGAAAAAAGGGAAATCTTGCTTAGATATGAAGACATTACTAATACCTCTGTCGAAATTCTGTTTTTGTTTTTGGAAAAATGATGCCTATAAGTATTATTCTTTAATTTCACTCTCAAAGAAGATTTTATGTGATGTATATGAGATTGACCTTTAAACAAATCGTGCACCACCTTATTAAAATAGGGGCTTTATTTGTTTTATTCCTTTGAAGTTTGGATTGATCAAATGATATTTAAGTTTTATTATAATTTTAATTTTTTAAATATTCTTTTAAAAAAAATCCTTTCTTTAAATTTGTTCCTTTGCAGTTTAGATTGATCAAATCATATTTAGATTTTAGAATAAGTTTTGAAACCTTTTTGTATACGTTTCTCTTTTTTAATATTTATCTTTCAAGAAAAATGCTTTTTAAACATTTATCTTTCAAGAAAAATGTAATTTCGGTTTTCATCGCTCAAATTCAATAAGTTTCTCTCTGATTAATGTATATTGTATGTTCTTGATAACCAGAATGTTTATTTGTTAAAGTCATAAGTTTGTTTCTGTCATTTATTGATATTCCTTCATAACCTGCAACATTGCTAATTTGTATAATAGGCTGCAAAACAGAAGCAGAATGTAGATCTCAAGGCAAGCCTGCCCTCTACTGGTCACATTGCAGACAGGCTTCAAAAGCTTCAGAACAACCTCAAGAAGGATGCGGTAAGGAAATGAACACACACAGGAAAGAAGAATTTAGAGTAACGTTTTATATCTCAATTTTATTTTTTTTGAGCTGGGATAAGGAATGAAGGAAGTCCTGTTTACACTCAGAGCTACTATATTGAAGTAACGTTTTATATTTATATATCTCCTTGCACTGTGGTAAGGAAATTAAAGAATTCATGTTCACACTCACAGCAAATATATTAGGAGCATTATTTTTTTTATACTGATTTTTTATTGCTCTTCTGTAAAAGAAATGCAAAATGTAATGCACGCTGTTGTGATGAAATGAATGCTAACACATATAGCAAATGTTTGAGGATAACATTCCATTATATTGATTTTATATTGTTCTGAATCGTTATTTATTAAACAAGTTTCTAGTTCGCAAAATCATACATTTAATAAACATATAGGTGTTTTACTTTCCTAATTTATGTAAAATTCATGATGAATTCTGTGTTTTTTGATAAATATTTTTCAGGAGACCCCAGATAAGAATGTAAAGAAGGAGCCGATCAAGATAACATACAGCACTCCAGAACAACTGAAAGAGGACCTAGAGGCTAATAAGAGAGATGCCGAGAAATTCAAACAACAGAGGGTTAGTTCTTACCACATTTGAAGGAGGAGCAAGAGGGGTGGGGAGGGGGTGGGGGCTGATGTGGGGGGGGGAATTGTTTGCCCCCCCCCCCCCTTGACAGATTTCAGAAAAATTCGACCATTTTCGTATACTACAATTTAGCAGATTAGGGGGCTATTTGTAAGTCCTTAAATAAAGAAACACTCACCAACTCACTCCCTTACCCTTTCACTTCTCACCCACTCACTACCTCACTCTCTTTCTCACTCTCACACACACTCACTCCATCACTCAATCCCTTACTCAATCACCTCTTCACTCACACTCATCCATCAACCCACTCACACATCATCCCACTCACTCAATCTCACTTACACCCACTCACTCACCCCATTTCTCTCTCTCACTAACTCACTCACTCTCACTCACTCCCTCACTCAATCCCTCACTCAATCCCTTACTCAATCACCTCTTCACTCACTAACTCACTTACTCACTCGCACTCACTCCCTCACTCAATCCCTTACTCAATCACCTCTTCACTCACATACTCTCTCACTCACTCTCATCCATCAACCCACTCACTCAATCTCACGTACACTTGCTCACTCCCTACTCACTTCCTTACTCTCACTCACTAACTCACCCACTCGCCACTTGTTTACTCCCTCACTCACTCCTTTACTCACTCGCACTAACTCAATCTCACACACTCACCCACTTACTCACTCTCACTCACTCATACGTCCACTCATTCACTCTCCCTCTCACTCTCACTCCCTCTCTCAGTTACTCAGTCTCACTCATTCCATCACTGGCACACTCACCCATCCACCCACTCACTCTTCCTCTCACTCATTCCCTCTCTCAATCAATCCGTTACTCACACATTTCTGCAAAGTTCATGTTACATGGTATGATAACTTGAGATTAAACGAACAATTCAAGCAGTAGACGTAAAAAGGGCATTTACAATCATAATACATTTACAGTAAGACTGCATGGAGAAACAAACATTAATTCTTTGATAGGATTGTGTGCATTTCATTTTCAACACAGTTTGTTCTATCTATCTCATTGTATAAGAAGTGATGCCCAGGTGGTCCTCAAACCAAAAATTGGAGCCTGTAAAATTGGAACTGGGAAAAAGTATGAAATGATGTATGGGAAGCATGATATCTCTTGTGGCTGGAGTTCAGGGTTTGCTACTCTGGTGCAATCTGATCTGTATTTTGAAGTGTTTTTAACCTAATTTTGTGACTAAATATATATCATAAATAATTTTTGTTTCGAATAAATATTAAAGCCCACTGCACTGCGTATAGCTACTAGCGCCCTTTATTTAGCAAACAATGCCTAATCGGTGACAATTGGTCCCCCATGAACCTGTTTTTTTCTTATGTTAATTGAGAGCTGATTTGATGAGATAACCACCTGTCAGTGACCATGCAGGGCCACTAATCCCTCCTGGCCAAACTAGTGCAGTGGGGCTTTAACCTGTAGCTGATTTTCAAACCTGTCCCTGTTACATGTTTAAGCCACTGTGGACCACTGTTGACCCTTCTTTATCTCCTTTCAGGAGGAGAATCGTAAGAAGAGGGAGGTGGAGATGAGTAAAATGGAGCAACTCCAGGAGGAGAGACAGAAGAAAGCTGAAGAGGAGCGTAAGAAGCAGGCTGAGGAAAGAGAGCGGCTGAAGAGAGAGAAGGAAGAGAAGGAGAAGGCTAGGAGGAACATGATGAACCCTTCTGGAGCCCCTATCAACATCTCTGTGAGTCCCCCCCCCCCCCCCTACCACCCAATTTTCTAAAGTCATATGTCATAAGTTTTTGAACATTTTTTGTGTCGTGGTCTAGAGGATACAGTACATTGCTGGTCTGTGAATCACATGGTTCGCAGTTCCAGTTCTAGCTGCCCAGGTTCTAATGACCTTTGGCAAAATATTAATGTACAATTTACAACCCAAGAGTTGCGATTGATCCAAATCAATCGCAAGTTTGCAATTGATATCAATCGCAACTTATCATCAACTCTTTGTAAGACAGGGCGCTGGTGTTGTAAATGGGTACCCGGTAGGAGTGAAATTTCTTGAATGCTTGAGCGCCTTATCATGGTAGCTCGGCTAAAGCCAGGGTAATAAGATGATAATATGCAGGGGCCTCAAGGAGTATGTTAAAATACTGATGAGGCTATTATTATTATAAATTAAACCTTAAGTGCCAATTCTTTTTTTACTGAAAATTTTAATCTCCTTTTCAAATATTTAATAGAGGCTAACATGTATAGTACATGACTAAACTTCTCACGAGGACATTCGTTTCTGTTTTAGGAACACAAGCACTGCATTTCTTAGTCCTAACAAGTTCTTTAGAGCTCAAATGTTGTATAGGGTTGTCACTTGTGCAATATTATTGTTTACAATGTTGCCATTACACGGTTCTGCAAAGGCTTACTATGTGCCGACGCAGACCTACATTGGGCAAATAATTAGTTTATAATTATGCCTCCGTTACGAAGTAGCCGGAGGCATTATGTTTTCGGGTTGTCCGTCCGTCCGTACGTACGTCTGAACGTCTGTACGTACGTACGTCCCGTTCTTGTGATCGCGTTATCTAAAGAACCGATTGATGGATTCCTACCAAACTTTGGTCATGTATGTATCTTGCAGAGCCGATGAACTGATTAGATTTTGGGGTCACGAGGTCAAAGGTCAAAGGTCACAGGGCTCATTAGGTATGCAAAAACAGCTCGTGATCGCGTTATCTGAAGAACCGATCGATGGATTCCTGCCAAACTTTGGTCATGTATGTATCTTGCAAAGCCGATGAACTGATTAGATTTAGGGGTCATAAGGTCAAAGGTCAAAGGCCACAGCGCACATTATGTATGCAAAAACAGCTCGCGATCGTGTTATCTCAAGAACCGATTGATGGATTCCTGCCAAAATTAGGTCATGTATGTTACTTGCAGAGCCAATGAACTGAGTAGATTCTTGGTTCATAAGGTCAAAGGTCAAGGTCATGGGCTCATTATGTATGCAAAAATAGCTTGTGAACGCATTCTCATTAGAACTGACAGATGGATTACTATTTAACTCAGGACATCTTGCAGAGCCAATGAACTGAGTAGATTTTAGGGTCATGAGGTCAAAGATCAAAGGGTCATATATGTATATGAGAAATTGCTTGTAATCACGATATTCCGAGAACCTGTCAATGGATTACAATTGAACTTGTATTCGAAAAATTTCTTCTGTTTTGGTTTGTAAAATTGCTCTATGACGGAGGCATCATTTTCGACTGCGCGCAGTCGAATTCCATCTAGTTTTTTTTTTAATTTGTTAGAAAAGTGCAGTTTTATTTGCCAGTACAGTAAAAGCTTAAAGGAAAAAGTCACTTATTTTTCCACCCATCTTGACATCTTGGATTTGCCTTACAGAAAGTTGTATCACAGCAGAAGGCTAAGAATCGTGAACAAACCCTCGCTGACCGGGTCCCAACGATGACCATCTCGAGCACGACCACGGAAGCTGAGTTGCGTAACTTTGCCAACGACCTCTATAACCAGCTCAAGACTACCTTGGGTGATGTCTTTGATCTCGATGAACAGAAGAAGAAGAATGAGTATTATGTAAGTACAGTGAAACCTGTCTATGGTGACCACCCAAGGGAAACCCAAAAAGTGGTCTTTGTAGACAGGTTCCTTTAGTACATGTTTCAATTTTGAAACCATTTTCAAGGGAAACAAAAAATGTGGTCTTTGTAGACAGGTGGTCTTATACAGGTGGTCACTAAAGCAGGTTTGACTGTAGTAATTATGTCATAAATTTAATTGTGATGATAGTTATATGTGTATGTCTGGTTTAACCAGGGTAGCATCATCAGTATTAATACTGTTTATGTATCTTGCACAGCCAATGAACTGTTTAGATTTTAGGGTCATGAGGTCAAAGGTCATGGGGCTCATTATGTATGCCTATAAATAGCTTGTGAATGTATTATCATTAGAACCGACAGATGGACTACCGGTACTATTAAACTCAAGACATGTATTATCTTGCAGAGCCATGTACATGTATTGTATTGTATTTATTAAACATCATTGATGTACATCAATATTCTGTTTATAGACATAGTTATAATCACTTTACAATGTAATGCAACAATCGATATATAAAACATAATATAAAACATTTACAACACCTTTCTAAATAAACAATAAGTCATGCAATACGAAATATGTAAATGAGAACTAAAACAAAAGCATAAGATTGTACACGACTACTTTGTTATAACATATAGTATCTAAAAATTACCCCTCATTGCAATTATGTTTTTGGTGAACAAAGAAAAACTATCTATTACAACTTCATTATCTAATCTCATTATAAATATGAATTTTTCTTGACTATCCAAATTACAAACATTTTCTTCCAGATTACTAATTGTTTCTATAAAATCTACTCGTAAATCTTTATACTTGTCACATTTCATAATTATATGGAATTCATCTCCTACAAGATTCATATTACAGTCTTCACAGAATCGTAGATTCGGGGGAGTTTTTTCTGGTCTTTTATACCTTCCTGTTTCTATGGGTAAGTTGTGCGCGCTTAGACGTAGTTTGGCGATATTTTTTCTTAAATTTATATTTGGTATATGAGATAAATACTTTTCTTGCTTGATTGAGTTTTTAAATTGTCTGAGGGTTCTGAGTTTATTTCCTTTACGGGTATCCCTATCATCAAATAAGTCTAGTTTTAATTGTTCATCAAATCTCCTTTCCAAACAAAGTTTACATAACTCGACAAAATCTTTATGAGAAATTTGTATATTTTCAGGGTCCAATACGGTCTCATTTCCATTATTACAAATATTTAGTGAACTAAAGATATCCCGAATTGACATTAACCAACAGCTTTGTTCGTTATTTACTAATTTTTTGTTTTCTTCAAAAGATTTATAGACAAGGCCATTTTCATCCAAACTCCGTATTCGTATCCAATATTTGAGCATGTTCATTGCAATTTGAATAAGTTGAGGATGCCTTCCAATTTCAGCTGAAACTGCTAAATTGCTGCATTTGCGGTTTACCCCTAAGATATTTTTACAACACTGAATGTGTACTTTCTCAAAATCGTTTTTTATAATACAGTCCTGTTTTCCCTGTTTCTATTTGAAGAATTTTCTTCATGTCTATTGCACTAGCACCCCAAATTTCGGATCCATAAAGCAAAATTGGTTGTACAGTTGCATCAAACAGGTGTAATAAGGTTTTAATACTGGGCGTATAATTGCCGAAAGATTGCCAAAAGATTTATAAAGTTTCATCACTGAGAGAGAGAGAGAGAGAGAAGGGGACAAAGAGAGGGAAGAGGGGAAGAGAGAGAGGGGGAGAGAGAGGGGGAGGAAGAGAGAGGGGGAGGAAGAGAGAGGGGGAGGAAGAGAGAGGGGGATCGGAGGAAGAGAGAGGGGGAGGAAGAGAGAGGGGGAGGAAGAGAGAGGGGGAGGAAGAGGAGTGAAGGAGAGACGAGAGAGATGGGAGGGATGGAGGGGGAGAACAAGAGAGAGAGGGGGAGAGAGAAAAAGAGAGAGAGATAGAGGAATATATCATAGTTATACATTTTTCTCTCATTTTCTATGCATTGAAATGACTGATAAATCTGTTCTACAAATGAAATATGTCACTACATTTACACTAAACAATTAATATAAACAAAGAAGTTATGACCCTGCAACGCATTGCCCTCCGTGAAAGCTCCTTGGAAATCTACAATTGCTACATGTACATTGGCTTAATTATTCCCGGTAAGGGAAGATGCATATCAGATTTGCTGGCTGCTTACTAACAAGCATATACAATGTACAGTGAAACCCGTTTATAAAGACCACCCAAGGGAGACAAGAAAAGTGGTGTCTTTATAGGCAGATGGGGTGGTATTCCGATAGCGCGTACTAAGTTAATCCTGGCTTAACTAGTACACACTTTTTTTGGAGCGCCAGTTGCCAACTCATTTACCTTGTACAGATTATTTTAATCCTGCAATGAAAAGTGTACAAAAAAATAATTTTTTGCAATGAAATGGGAATGAAAAGATAATATGAGTATGAACTGAATTTCAACAAAGTCTTTGGTAGATTATCTTTGTCAAGGATATTGAAGGACGAAGATGAAACCTAGCAGTCCATAGAAGTGTGAACTAAAATTCTTGTTTAGTCTGGACTTAGTCCCGGCTTAACTTATGAGAATACCACCCACGGTCTTTTATGTACATGTGCATATATACCTACAATGTTTCAATGAGAAACCGTTTTCACGAGAAACAAAAAATGTTGTCGTTCTAGACAGGTGGTCTTTGTATACAGGTGGTCACTAAAGCAGGTTTGACTGCACATGCTTCTTTTGGCAGTCAGGTAAAACAATCATCATCAAACAAAATAATAAACTTACCCATGCTTGCTTTCTTTGAGCCCCTCGTACAGCAGCCTGTACACATTGTTGATTCTGTCTCGATTCAATTCCCACTGGATAGTCCATTTCTTAACCTTTGACAAAGAAGAGTAAAAGAGAATAATAATAATAATTATTTAACATTTTTTTGTATAGCCCATATTAACAAATTCACATATTTGCAAGTCTCTATGAGCTTTACAGAACAGAACACAAAAGGAGTGACAATGGTGCACTGGGTTAATAACTGTAAGATCTTACAAAGTGCTCAATAGATATGTTTTCAAATTCCTTCCAAACTTTTCATAGGTTTCTGTATTCCTAAGGTATTCCGGCAAGCTATTCAATACATTTGTTGCTGCATATGAAAATGACCTTTCCCCATAAGATTTTGCCGGTTTGTGGGACATAAACTTTCAGTCATCTAGTTTACATAAGGAAATGAAGCAGCTCTACGATTGAGCAGAGGTCTCGTTACCCGATTCATACCCTTTGGTACGGAACACTTTCATCGAGTCCCTTAGGTTGGACTTAAACTGATTGTTTACAGGAATATACTTCTTATAGCAGTAAGGTAAAATAATTATAATAATGGTAACATTTGTATAGCACTTAAAACTACGTTTCTAAAAGCTTTACATTGTAATTGTTAATACCCTGGGCATTGGATTCAATTGCATGATAGTGCACATGCTCTACTCCATGGGGAGTATCCCCGCCCCAGGCAATGCCAATTCAACCGCATTAAAATCATCATCCTACTCGGTACCCATTTAACAACCGAGTGGAGAGTGGAAAATGTAAATAAATGTCTGGCCAAAGGACACTAGGGCTGTACCTTGAATCCATGACCTTCGCATTCCCATTCAAGTGTTAAAACCACTCGACTACAACACCTCTAAATTATATTATCCATCAACAACCAAAATCAGGCATTAGTTGATGGCTTCTTCCTGTTATTGTATTTATTATTGTAATTCGTTTTCTTGTGTTCTTTGTTATTGTTATACTCCTTTATGTTCCTGGAAATGAAATAAAATAAATAAAATAAAATAAAAAATAAATAAAATAAAATCAGACTCCTACCTTGTCTAAATCTGTGACGACTTGATCGATGTTTTCATATTTAGCAGCAACTCTTAACATGCCGGTGTAGACGTGGTATGCAAGAGGGTTCGTCTTTCCGACGCCATGGAATAAACTATTCAAACTGCAGAACAGAAACAAGAAGAAATCAATCAACTCTTGGTATGCCACACAATTAATCTTCCTGTGCCACATAGTATCGATCATAAGATAGATATATCTTATGATATACGTTTAGATATATGATTCTGATGTACGACTGCTCGGCTGTGCCTGATTTGGTGATATGTTCGCTGAGTTTAGGGACAAGTTTTTCCATCGTTTCTTGTGGAAAGTAGATAAGAAGAGACAGGATACTGTTGAAAACACCTTCAATTTCTGTTTTAAAAAAAATAGACAAAGAAAATAAAAAATAGTGTTAAAAAGGTTTATTTCAAATCGAATATTGATACTATGGCAGTTATGAAACTTGTTATCGGCAACATGTTACAATTTTGAAGTCATTTCATTATTTGGCTGGTACCTCACAAGTTCTAAAATGGCATCAGTTGTTGTAATGAATTATTCATAACAAGTTATATGAATCAGGGCAGAGTGTCTAAATATAACATGAACAACAAATAATGGGAATAGCAGTAGCCACTGTAGTTAGGAACTAAAAAATACAGCAAACTATCAGAGCTAGACTCATCATCTATCAATGTTTATTTATTCATTACTATTCTAGAAGACAAATAAAAATTTCCTGTAAAATTATAACCAACTGAAGCTAGTATTCTCAATAAGTTTCATCATTTTCATGGGTGCTTCCATGTCATGTGAAATCTACTCCACAGACCACCAACACAAAAATCAAACCTTTCTCATATATAAGCCTAATTCTTTCTAATCAATAGAAGAGAGAGGAGTGAAAGAAGTGGGAGTGGTGATAATATTTAGAGAAGGCTAGGAGCCTAGGGTTGTGGAAGAGCATGATCGTCAAAGTCAATCGAGAAGAATCTCAAAAACTATGTTATAGTCAATTTCAACAACTGGTATCAAGGTTATTACAAAACAATCAATCATTGTCATATTGTCTTCTTGCAAAACTAATAATCCTGACTGCCAAAATTAAAAACAGGTGTGAACTTTAATCCTGAAATGTGTGAATTTTAATGCTGAAATGTGCTTTTTTTTTCCCCTTACCGTTCACATCTGGTAATTTCCAGACGGCTCCCACATTATCGATGACTGCTTCAAGGTCTAATTCTAGACCCTCCTCGCTCATCGTCTCTGAGATATCGGCTCCCTTTTCCCTTAGGAAGGACCTCAGCTCCCCGGCCTGAAGAATGAAAAAGATATTAATACAATGCATATTTCATGTTTAGATAACTTTCCTCTTCTTTGCTTGCCTTCCTCCAGTCTGGAGAACTGCGGTTGGTGCAGGTGTTGATAGTACACATATGATGCCATCACAGGTAACTAAGTTCTCACTGATTGCAGACATGAATTGCACAAATGACAAACGGCACTGGTAGAAAAAATGTAGACCTAACTAGGTACAGGGCTTATGCAGGAGAAACACATTTACAGTCATAATTGTAAAGATTCAAGATTCAAGATTTAAGATTCAAGATTTTATTGTCTATAATATAATACAGAAATTTGTTTTCCATTGGTATAACATGTAATACATAAAACATAAGACAAAAACATAATGTCGTGTGCTGAAAGCCAGAAGGGCGTCAAGACTATACAAAAGAAATGTTTAATTATTTTGAGCAGCAAATGAATCCCATCTACTCTAATCGCAACTAATGAATGGTAGGGGTGCTAGTCTAAGAATAAGGATCTTCCGCATAAACAAGGATATCTGTAGGCAAAGCTGTAGGCAAATACATTCAAAAAAATAAATTCACAAAATTGGCTTGAAAATACATCAGACAATTAGTCTGAACCACGTCAGGAGCAAATTTCATAACAAAATTATTTTTAAGTGCTGTACAACAAAAGAAATAAGAAAAAAACTGACAAGATATATTATTTGTAATAAAAATCGTACATGTAAAATTGTCCTTACTCTAAATTTTCATTCGACAGTTGATTGGTGACGGCCGATACGCGCACGGGTGCGTATTAAGAGTTTTTTAAACCAAAATTGTTCCGCGAAAACACTTAGGGGTCAGACAAGATAACATAGAAAAGATATATCCTTCCACCTGGCCTGATTATTGGCGAATCATCTAATCATAGACTAGACTATAGAGTAAAGGAGGGGGTAATCGACCATCGGCAGTTTTTGGCCGATCTACGGGCATGCGCGCTTCCTATTGACTTTGTACATCCGGCCGAAAACTGGTTCGCTATGCCGATAACTGGCTCCGAAACAGTGAAAATTGAAATGAATATTGTCATGGCAAATTGGCAATTCATGATTTTTTTCTGGGATTCTTTTTTTGTTTAAATAATAAGAATATTTGCTTCATGATTTGAACAAGAAATGATAATAAATAGGAAGTAAAGAGTCCAAAAAATAGAATTTTGTCTTAAGTGGCCGAAAAACCCCTCCTTTAGTTTTACTCTAGAACTGAAGTAAAGTGAAGGCGAAGCCGAAGGCCATTCAGATTTCTGTATGCGCGCGAAGCTCTAAGATTTACTCTAAGATTAGATTCTAAGATTTAAGATTTATTTATTTCTTTCCACTTGCATAAAAAAAACATTTCATTCAGTAACAGTAGTACATATCAATTCCTTCGCGCTCCTTTTGGGAGATCAACCGACCCGCGCGCATTTTATATTACATGACATATGGTAAAATTCTCGACATCTTTTTACACTTTTCTTTACCATTAAAAATCGAAATTGAGTATAATATCCTCAATCGAGATATGAGAAGAAGGAAACATTTCCTTTACATTCCATGTAAAACCATGCCCTTACTTGAAAAAAAAACCTCCGTCACTTTGACGTTGAACTTTACAATCCATTTAAAAAAAATTACTTTCTCATACACAATGTCAATGGATCGGTCGCACTGTGCTCGATTGCCTTTCAATATACCAATCTTTAACTTTGCAGCAACGCGTTTTGCGTCAAATTTGTAAATCCTCAATCCCAGACAATGACGTATGATACGTAAGCTTTTCATACATATAAAGCTCGTTTTGATTGATTCATATTTAGCCCCGTCAATTTTCATGTCAAATCATGCTTCACCATTTTTTTAGAAGCCCGACCCAGGGTTTTGTGCCAGCTAGCCGTGTATGCATGTCATGTACGTAATGCCATGCATACACATATAACTGAACATGCATACATAAGTACAGTACATGTACACCGCAGCGCAGCGCGTACTCGATCGTGAGCGCACTGCACATTTCATTGGGTCAGTACCATTATGAAAATAGGGGAACAATGAGTGGGATGGGTTTAGTGCCGTCACAATAAACTTGCGCATTACACGCGTACGTATAATTAGAGCAATTTATGCACCCCCAAGAAATAATGATTACGGCCCGACCTCTCTACACACAGAACTGCACAGTACCGAACAGTCCGGTCAAGGCGGTACGCGTAGCGTTAAACTGCCAAATTTACAGAAATTGTGAGGAGCGCTTTTGCTATGAAAGGAATTGATATGACAAGTTCATCGTAAACTAGCATAAATACATTAACAATGAAACAGTTATAAAGACTTTAACAAATGTGGAAAAAGAGGTGGTCTGTTAAAAAAGCACAGCTTGTTAAAACACAGATCACCTTTACAGAAACAACATTTTTTTTTTAAAGAAGTAGGTTATATTACAGGGGGAGGGGGACTAATACTAATCTAGTTACCTAGTCTATACAGACTATAAATAAATATCAGATACCCGGATCATCTACCACTAAGCTCCCTCTAGTGCCCCATGAACGTCCGCATATTCGCGCACATTTTTTTCCAATGTACCTGATATTTTATTTTTTTGAAGACGCAATTTTCTAAACTTTTTAAATTAGGATTTTGGATTCTAACCAAAAAAAATCACTCGCATCTTTACTATCACTTCATTCACAAACACGTATTTCAATATGTGGGAATTAATAAAGAAACAAAATAAATCTTGTTGTATAACGCGATAATTACGAAAAGAAATGTCAGATTTAAAGATCATTATACGGAGATATTTCGTAACCCTGTTCGGCTTCGGGGATATTAATAAAAGCTGGTAAACTCATGATTTTGCGGTTATTTTCACTCCCGTATGTCTCACAAAAAATTAACACACACGGCACGCGGGTAGATATTACTCCGATTTGGGGACTACGATTCAAGATGTGTACACACGAGTGAAGGCATGAGAATAGGTTCCAGTCTGCTCGTCACTTCATTCCGCCGATTCACCACCGAGCTATACAATCTCCATAACATTTGATACCGGTCCCATTCTTTGCAGTATCGCCGCCATATTGAAGCTCCTAGATCGACCGAGACTATGATATTGCAATTTTGATATAGACTACTCTATTTAAACCAATTTTTTTTCTTTTTTTATGCCCAATTCGTGAGAAAATATTTAGCGGTGAATCAGCCAACCGGCGAACAAGCGGGATGCGATGAGCTTACAGTGAACTTGTAAACAAAATAAAGTAATACACAAAGTAGTTGATCGACAGCAATTCTGGTTTATCCATCACACATAGTCTAGACTCTAGATCTAATTACATTCATTACTTTTTCAGTCCGAATGAGAGATAGAGAGAGACAAAAAGAGACAAGAGAAAAGAATCCAACTAATCAAATAAAGACTGAAAATCTCAATCCACATAATTATTTACAATTATTTTGCCGAGAAAGCCAGAAATTAAAATATAATTATTTGGCCAATTTTGGAGTTATATCATTATGATTGTTTTTGTTGTTATTGTTGATCTTAAAAGAGAATAAAATGGGGACCTATTGCAAGGGATGGGGTGGGCAATGTAGAAAAAAGCCTTGGACGTGGTCATTCCTCAAAAGGGCCTTTTTATGGGCAATCGGACACCAAAAATAATAATAAATATGTATCCCGAAAGCGTAGAATCAATAAATAAGCACATTTTTTAACGTCATTCCAAGATTCCCAGCTACGCCTTTACTGACCCCATTTTATTTGTATCATTTTGTTTTTTCACCCAACAATGATATTGACTTGTCCTTTAATGGGACCCCCCCCCCCCCACCTTCTAATCAAAGGAGAAAATA